TGAACACCATCCAAACCCCATAACTCACTGGCTCTTGTGAATAGTGTGTCATTTTTACAAAACCAGCACAACCTGCAGACCATCATACTTGTAAAGTGTACATCCTCTGTCTCAACCAGTAGGTGATGGCCAACTGGCTTACGACATTACCATATAACCGGACCAAATCTCCAGACTTTGTAATATTTTTGTAATTGATTTTAGGGTAAATGGATTTAAACACTAAAATAGAGTTCAATAGAGTCGAAGGTATTGAACTTTTATTGATAACTGAAGGTTATCAAACTGAATTAAAACGTTTTTGTGCCTGTCACTGCATGTTTAACTTCTATAGGCTTCTCTTAACATCTTTTTTTTAAGCAATGGATTATTGGAGTATGGAGTACTCCATTGGAGTATAATGGAGTATTAAGCTTTTTTTTTTATCACACGTGCAGTCATGCTTTATACACAGCAGCTTATAAAAGAAGCTTGAATGCTGTTAGTATGAATGGGCAACCAAAGTCAAGTTCATACTTGAGTATCGCCAGTAAGTAACAGTGACAAAAGTAAATATTAATGATGGCGACATCTATAAAACATAAAAATTCATTGCAAATTGTGCAAGTTCATCCGTCAAGTCTTAAAGGGGGCTTGAAATGCATTTTAACATCTTTATATTATGTTTCTAGAGGTTAGCTTAGTATGTTAGCAAAGTTGTTTGCACCGAAAAGTTTAAATATTTGTTAAAAAATTATCCTCATTTTCACTCTCTGTTAAAAACTGTAAATGTTCAAAATCACCCCCTATACCCTCATTCATTATTCCCTACATCAGTCCATTATATAGTTGACTTGAGGGAGTGAATGAAAACGAGTGAATGAATTCGGACACTGAGTGCGCCGGAAGGGCCGCTGCTTTTGCATAGTTTGTGTTTGCTGTTTAATAATCATTTGAAACTGGCAGCTCCAGTAGTGATGAAAAGATTTATCTTGATCTCTATCATGGAAACTATGGATAATCCTTAATTAAACAATTGAATAATCAATTGATAAGGAATTTATACCTGTATGATATTACACTGTACAATATTCAATTTGACTATGGTTTCTTCACACAATATATTAATAGATACAACGATTCAACTCAAGAAAACATTGTTAATCCATGTATGTACTGATTTGATTAGCAACACTCTAACAACAACAACACACTTGGTCTCTTAATTGCATGAGAATAGACATGAGAAAAAAAAGTATTTTCAACATGTCTACTTCAATGTTGAAACTATTTGCAGCCAATTTTTCCTTGCACAGACCACAAAATTGATGGGAAAAAATAGTTTTTTCACATAACTATGTTCTTCTTTTGAAAGGTGATCTGAACATTCATGGCTTTAAAGTTGGCATGAAACGTAAACTGCGATAGTCTTTTTTTTCCCTGTTGTGATGTATAGTTGAAATGGCTTCTCAAACAAGAAAAAATGTAGGGCGGGACTTGATTTTGTTTATGGGGAATTGTTTGGATGGTTGTGGTTTGCCATTGGTGGATCTCGTGTGAGTGACAGGTTGCCCCGCCCTCACGCCAGTAAACACGTCATCAGAGAGGAGAAGAGATGTCTCTTTAAGAGGAAGGGGAAGTTATTTTGATTAAAGATTACGAGGGCACATTAATTAAAAAAAAAAAAGGATGTGCACAGATAAAGCATTTATAATAAATACTGCAATATTCCCCCAAAAAATATAGTCAATTTTGATTTCATGGTGACTTTAAAGGTGTCCTATTATGCCCCTTTTTACAAGATGTAATATAAGTCTCAGGTGTCCCCACCGAATGTGTCTGTGAAGTTTCAGCTCAAAATTCCCCACAGATCATTTATTATACCATGTTGAAAATGCCCTTTTGCAAAAAAAAAATGTTATGCCGTTTTTATCTTTAAATGCAAATGAGCTGCTGTTCCCAACCCTGTTTGCCAAAAGAGGGCAGAGCCTTTAAGGCTCCTGCCTCAGATAAAAACGAACAAAACATCTGTTGCCATGTGTGTTGTTGGTTTTGTTCATGCTTTCATGTCTTTTATTTTGAAATTTGTCTTGGTCTTGTTTCCTGGTTTGTCATGTGACTCCCTTGCCCCACATGTGATCTTTTCATAGTACTTGCATCATGTCCTGATTGGTTCATTGTTTTATTGTTCACAGGTTTTCCTTGTTATGTGATCAGTCCTTGTGTATTTAAGCCCTCATGTTTGCCCTGTTACTTTGTTGGGTATTGAAGTAAGTTGCTGGCTGCCTCATGTTTCAAAGTGCCAGGTCTTTGTTTACTGCCAAGTTAAGTTTTTATGTTCTTGGATTTTGGGTATTCTGTAACATAGCTGATGTCGAGCAGGCGAAGACAATGATGTAGCGAACCAATGTGCAGTTTATTTACAGTGAAAATCCAATACATGAACAAAACTTAACTTGTGGAGGAGCTAAGGGGAAGGAGCTAAGCTAATAGGGCAGATTCTGTCGCCAGTCGTGGGTGGGGCATAAGCATATGTAACGTCACTTTGGATGACAGTCCCGGGGTGCGTTTCCCGTACAAAGACATAACTTTCTGCTTAACTACCATAGTACGTTGTATCGTTGAAGAAATTAACTAGCTAGTCACGGCTGTTTCCCGAAACCATACTGTCGCAAATTGGTCATTCAACCACGTTGGTTAATGATGTCTTGCAGGTGGTGGAGTAATAACTACATTTAATTAGCCTGGGAAAACCCAGACAACTTCCGGCAAATTTAAATTTGCTCTGAAAGTTAGTCTGGCAAAGAGCTCATTCAAGCTCATTTCCAATCCGCCGAAATCGCGGCACCAATCAGAAACGTTGGGGCGGGCTTTACACGATGACGACAGCGCTGGGATTTTGAAGCAGATTTTGCAGCCTACATTACAAAGATGGATGCCGCCGTCGAACATCACTCGTTCGAATCAGCTATCGCGTCTGTTTTAAGCGATTTGAACGTTTCCTTTTTGTTAAAACCCGAGCAAAGAACAACACTCAGAGATGTTTCTCCGCCGCTCTGCATACGTCATCTCCTTCATCGCTCTGATTGGTTTTAGGTCTATCCGCGACGTCCGTTGGTGACACCCCTCTGGAAATGATTTGTCTATGACGCTTTGCCAGACCATAACTCAGTTACAACTGAGAATGGTCTGGTTTTAACCAGGCTAACATTACACAGTTATTGAACCAAAATGAATCAACACTGATCTGAATTGAAATGAATAATGACTGTTTACTATTGTTTTTTTAGAGCTGCTTCAGCAGAATTGAAGTCTGTTTGCATCATTGAATCATTATTTTCCTGTTTATCACTGTAAAGCTACTTTGAAACAGTATTGTATAAAGCGCTTTATAAATAAAGGTAACTTGACTAGTATTTTCAGCATGTCTGCTTCAACGGATTTTTGATAGTTTAGAGATTCCTTAAAATAAAATTGTTGTTGTCAAAATCTACTTCTTTTCCACTGCTGGTACGGCTCGGTATGGCTCAGTACAATTCGGCTCGGCGCGGCACGGTTCGGCTCGCTTAGCTTTTCCACTGCGTGGTACGACTCGGCTCAGCACGGCACGGCTCGGTTCGCTTTAGCTCGGTTTGCTTTTCCACTGCAGTTAGTACCGCTTCAAAGTGGGTGGGATTATAGCAGTACCCTCAGATTTCTGATTGCTTAAAAAAAAAAAACTTGGAGGCAAAATATTTTTTAGTGAAGTAGGCTAATACTACCCACCGGATGAAGAAGGGTTGGCTCTCAGTCTCCACAGTACATAAAATATTCATTTTATTTTATTTTATTTTTCGTGTTCGCATTTATGAGGAAAAAACAATGTTATGGACGTGTTCTCCGTTACGGACGTGAGCGCTCTGAAAGCGACACTAAAAGATGCTTTAAAACTTTCACACAGACATCGAACAGAAAGCACAAAACCTTTCTTTAACCTGAATTTCGTTTTGTATTAATTGTATCTTAATTTTAATAAATGTTTCATTAACCAATTGCCTGGATTTAATAAATAAGAACGAAGCCAATATAGCAGACGATAGATAGGAAACAGAGGCCCCGGCGCGTGAATTGGAGTCTCATAAATGAACCGAAACTCAGCATATAAGGTAGCCTACTTGCCTCACATGTCTACTTTTAAACAGAACAATTCAAAACGAAAGAAAACAGACTAGACTGCTCTCTGCTTATGTAATCCTTATGAAATGTGCATTTCTCTCTGGCACGTTCACTAGGCTATACTGAAGATCGCGAGTCAGCATCGTCAACTTCATCTTAGCCGACAAAGAACACACTTGTTTATTAATAAACAATTAAAATATCTCCTTGCTATATTTTACATATTCATAATCATTACTTTTGCCGGTTCTTTGTGAAGAACAGCGGTGGCTGTTACTGGCTATTTAAATCTAGCGGGTTGATGTCTCGCAAATACAATGACGCTGGTAGTGACGATTCTGTCTGACCAATCCGTGATCTAGAGTGTGTTCACGTCACATTTTAGTATCGGTACGGTACGCTTGGAACCTCGACAGAGGTGGTACCATTTAAAGCGAGCCGTACCATGCAGTGGAAAAGCGCCATAAGTGAGCCGTACCGAGCCGAGCCGTACTGTACCATGCAGTGGAAAAGCGCCATAAGTGAGCCGTACCGAGCCGAGCCGTACTGTACCATGCAGTGGAAAAGCGCCATTGGTTACTCCAATAGATAATTTACATAGCCGATGAACATCTATTTGCGTCATGGAGAGAGTGTTTGTTTTCTGGTTCTGAGTGCAAGAGATCTTCTCACTCGTGATCTTTTAAGCCACATTAGCTGCATTAGTGCTGTAATTTTTGCCCCATAATGTGTATCGTTAGCACACAGCAGCCACCGCTCATTACCTCATGGCTTTCTTTTGCATACATTTTTTTTCCAGTTAATTGAGAAAAATAGACTGTACTATAAATGATTTCTAATTTCTCTCATAATCTGGTCCTCAACAGGTCAAGTGTTTTTCTCTTCGAGGGAGCAGCCGTTCACTCACGGCGCACTGGATTCAAGTAACACCCGCCCCTGGCAGCTGAAGATGACGTTACTATGGAAACAGTTTTTGCTGCTATCAATCATGGAGTATCTTGCAGGTAAAATGAATTGGCAATTCCTTCCTTGTGTGGCTCTTGTTGCGTATTCACAAGTATGTCTCTATCAACTTTAACTTAATCATTTTATAGGAAGACTATACTGATGTTTTGATGCTCAGAGTTAATATAAATGAGAAGTGCTCCTCAAAGAGCCACGGACCGTTGCATCCGATGTTCTCCTCTAGTTCACTGAAGCATTATGTATGTGGTCAACTTGTCTGGTCATTTATTGTTTGGGTGTGAACTCACAGCAGAAAGGAACAAATGTGATGTTGCAGCATTTGTTGCTATCAGCCCATATCTTGATTATGAGCAGAAGACAGTAATAGACCCTGACGCAGAGAATCAGGCTTACAGGAGCAGGACGTGTTTTGGATGTGGTGGAAGAGCTTTCAATTAAGCTGTGCAGTCACTTTGAAAATGAATTGTGTTGCGCCATAGAAGGTTTTGGAGGCTTCGATACAATGTGTCCTCCAAGGAAATTGAACTAGTATGTCACAGTTTATGGCTTCACTCCCTATAGATGTGGGAGGGGAAATTATTTCTCTGAATATGAATTCACTGGAAATATACAGATTTATAAATACCAATTCAACCTTGAAATTCGAATGACGATATTCTGAATAATTGTACTGGTTGCTCTTTTCCCTTCTGAGTCTTTTTAGCTTGGAACAGGAAGAAAAAGCACCATAAAAGTGGTCTGTACAACATGTGTGCTGTATTTCAAGTTTTCTGAAGCCATACGATAGCTTTGCGTGAGGAACAGATTGCAATTTGAGTCATTCTTCACCGCCTGTGAGCTGTTAATGGCTGTGACGGGATCATTGAGTATGTGAGTTGAACTCGAGAACCAATTTGATTTATGAATGAATCATTCAGACTGGTTTTGCCAACTGAATCAACCGATTCGTTGAAAAGATCCAACTTAAATATATTTTGCTCATCGAAGTCCTATTGAATCATGCAAGTTATCCTTTGTCAACTGTGGTAATTCCAAGTACTTACACTTTATGTTTGGCTGAATTTCACCGGTTGCCATTTTTCAACATTGGAAGTTCTCATAACAATTCCACACGTCAAATTATGTTAATATGCAAAACTGTTATCCAGTCATAGCAGTGGGCTTTTACATCCAAATCTTGAATGCAGCATACCCATCATAACGGAGCGTTTTAAAAACAGGATAGAAAATAGCCTATTACTTCTAAATGATCAAGTTTTTTTAATGCAAAAATCATTATAAGTGGACCTCAGAAAACATTATAAATGTATTTAAAGTCCCCCTGTAGTCAATAATTGAATCCCTTCATCTTTGATCATCAAAATGACATATTTAAAAGTTTTTCCTTGAAAAAATTAATTGTTCATGTCTTAAAATAGCTTGAATGTAACTCTACACCCTTGCTTCATTTAGTATTCGTGATTCTATGAATATGTAAATTAGCCCCGCCTCCACTCACTCACACCAGCACACGTTGACGTGATTGGTTACAAAGGTAATTTGTGACGTCAGAAACACCAGCGATTTCAAACCGTGTTTTTGTGACTGTCTTTGGTCCACTGCAGTTTTAAGGAGAAAATACAATGGTGTTGACTCATGAATTTGCACATGGTTTGTCTTAAAGCACATTAAAAACACCACATAGACATATAAACAACATTAAAAGCTGGATTTTCACCTCAGGGGGACTTTACAAAATGCAGTTCATGATCCCTTTAAAATCCCAAATACTTAAAATGAATAAATCAGTGTGTAAGAATCTACTAAACACACATCACATTCAGTTGCCTTTTGCTTTATTTCTACAAAATAAACACATGCATGCAATTCTTTAAGGTAAATCATATTTTATAGTAAAACATTTCTGCAGTAAATAAATCTGAAACACTAAACATTATGCTCTATTCCACTGTATGTTATTTTGCAAGAAAATATTGTTTATTTATTTGTTTCACATTCATTTATGGTTGTATAAACATAGCTGTTTTGGTATAGATACTTTTATTACGTTTATTTTCTTTATTTTATGTTTCAGAAATGACAAAATATTTTTTGAAAACCAATATAAAACTGAACGGAGACGTTCAGTTTAGCTTACACAGTTTAGAAATGGATAAGAAACAGAAATACACTCTATTGTTAAGTATAACTTCATTGTGCACAATGTAAATGTCATATTAGAGCGCCTTAGTTCCCATTTTCTAAACAAATATCACACGTAAATGTGATTTTGCCGCTATGAAACCATCTTAAGTAGAAATTGAGTGATGTGAGCATAGCACTTGATTAGAACCCCACCTGGTGTGATCTCTCCACATATGGTCTGTGTTTCTGCACTATGTATGTGTGTTGCTGTGCAATTCTGTCATTTGCACAATATTTACCCTCAAAATAAAAAATAAAAAAAAAGACTTGAAGTCACCATGAAATCAAAAATCTAATTTTTTTCACAGAATGTTTTTTTTAAACGATTTATCTGCAAATATCTTTTTTTTTTAAGTAATACACCCTCTTTAATCAAAAACATAATTAACCTCCCCTCCTCAAAACAGCATCTGTTCTGTTCATGACGTATGTCTCGACTGATTAAATCATCCACCCGCCACACACCCGAACCTATGATTTTCTCTGATTTAGATATCCCCACCTGATCGTCACATTACAACTATTCTAATGATGGTATGGTAACATATTACACTGAAGTAGGCTGTTCTTAAATGTAATTCTTCTTTGGCAAAATTACATTTCCTTAATAGGGGCTTTACTCCCTTCAAACTTAAATTGGAATGTCACTGTTTCCGTCACTGCAACTTCCCGAACACACACACACACACACAAGAAATGAAATATGTTCAGCCCAAGCAAAGGCTTTTGCTTCACAGCCGTTATACATCACATACCCAGCGCTTGATTGGTCCTGGTTAACTACTTCAGTAAAACGCTCCCACACGGTTCTTTCCTTTCCTTCCATTTGGTTTGTTTTAATTCTCCTTTTTGAAATTTCTCTCAGATCTGTTGCCTCTAAATTGCTGCTTAAACAACTGGACCCCAATCTGCAAATTAGTGCCTGATGAAAAATTAAGCTTTAACTGTTCATATTTCCATCATTATGTTGAAAAACACAATTATCAGACAAATTTCTGTTACACCTCGTGGTGTTGATTACGTGGGCACATGCATAAAAAAAACCCAATAGGAATTAAAAGGAATTGTCAATTTTCAATTTACGGAGACTTAGACTTTTTACACGAGAACGATTCCGGGTGAAAACGTAAAAATATTTTATCGGATGTGCCTTTCGTTTACACGGCAACGGCGTTTTGGGGGCTCAAAAACGCAAAAGAGTGAAACCACCCTCCAGAGTGGAAATCTTAAAAACGCTCCACCGTCGCGTTCCCGTCTAAACGGTATAAACGCAAATCTGCTCACGGTGGCTCTCGTCGCGTACGCGTTTACGTCACATGCATGCGCCAGTACAGGAAAATAACAACCAACATGTCAGATTATTTCCATACGTCGGACCTTCAAGTTGCCCTAGAAGCTCTGAAAAACATACAAGAGTCTTTTTAGCAGTTGTACAAAATATTCTAAGATATTGGTGTTGTTGTGTGGCGGTGCTTCACATTGCCACCTAGCCGCCTGGAGTGCATACTACATCGAATTTCACACACTTTTGCGTCACCATATGCACGCAGATTTCCCAACCATAACGCTCGTCTAAACGCAGAATAAAAAGTGATAACGCAACGCCACTTTTGCGTTTTCTCTTCAGATCGTTTCCATGTAAACATAGCCTTATTCTCCCCCATCAGTCATTGGTCAGACATATTACAGACATTCATCCTGCCAACAAACTCACACCACTGGTTGAGCCAGCGTCAATATCTCTGGCTGCTTGACATACTCAAACAAACAGATCAATGTTTTGAGAGCATTACAGAGCCACAATGTTTAGCAATCTTTTAAAGGAATAAACCTACAGTATGGCTTACATATAACTGTCTCTCCTTATTAAAGGAACCGGCATTGTGCTGTTTAAACTATTCCATTAATATGAGATAGGAAAAGGTATATTAACATGAAAAAACTGATACACTCCAGCTCAAACTGTCCATTAAGATAAAAAATTGTATTCTGTTGTTTGCTCTCAGAGTGTCTGGATTATAAGTCTTTTAATGGCCCGAAATGGCGAATGGAGCCCAGTGATCTGACAGTGGGTTCACTGGAGGAAGAGGCTACGCTGACCTGTGACGCAAAAGGCATTCCTACCCCTCAGTACAGGTATGGGACTTTGCATTTTCTGCTTCTGTTTTTCGCACTCTAACTCTGTTCCTTTGCTTTCTAATGCCTTCATAAGGGCTTACAAATACTGTTTGTTTGCTGGTACCAATGTTGCCAACGATTCCACACTCTAAAAAACATAAAACTACTGGTTCAAATATAGTGTGAATGTGAAATATCCAATTTTATTAGTTGGTTTATGGTTTGTAATGGATCATATTTTTGTAGTTGACTTCTATAATCTTTTATAATCTCCATGTCCGCCATCTTGGGTAGATTTTTTAAACTGCTCTCTCTCATCGCATTATTAGCTTTTCTATGAAGAAATAACAAGGATGCTGCTTTAGAATTTGGCCAAATGAAAGTATCTGGAAGGGAAAAGAAACGCCGCCTACCATTTGGAATGGTCTTTGCATCCACAGTAGATCATGTCTATAAATGATTCTGCAACACCAATCATGCATGATGTCATGTTTATTCATGCTGCATTGTATGATATTATTAGAATTTAATGACCAAGATGTACAGAATTCAAAACGTTCACTCCCTCGCAACGGTGAGAGTTGCCCGCGACAACAAAAGTATCTTTCATTTTGGTATGTCTCAACAGTCCATTAATTTTTGCTGTATGTTCAGATTAGATATATGCTGGGGAGCGGTGTGTCACTTTTTGACATCTGCATTATCTGATGGCAATGGTTAGTCAGGAGTGTTCCTGTAATTTAATGGATTATGGATTTCACATCTCGAGGCTGTACCTCATAGTGTCATCCTGGGGCTCCATCTCAACAGAAGAGCCATAAAACTGCAATATTTACACCGGCTTCATGCTGGCAGGACTCGGTGAATGCATTGACACATGAACATCAATTAAACATGTGGCACATGTTGCGTGCCATGCATCATTCAATCTACTGAATGCAATGTGTACATCTTTTATTTAGAAGTGTATTTTGAAAACTTGCTTGAAACATGCTTCCTGTTTGGGATCTGTTTCTGAAAATACGAAAATAGCTTTTTCTCTAATTTATAATGCCCTGACTGAGATTTTGAGGTTGCCAGGTCGCTGTGCTGTTGGTTGCTTGTAGGCATTCCTCTCTCTTCCTAATCCTAACCAGACAATATGGGATACTATTCCAGCAACAAGCAATTTTTTTGCACACAACAGAGGCAACACGGCTACAAGATGCAGCAAAATCAATCACAAAATCACAGCCAATCAGAAGAGCGTGTGGGTGGAGCTCTCTCTGCAAGTGCACTGCTGTCTTGCACTCACATGCACAACTCGCCTATGTTCCTTGACAGGTTTCTGCATCCCTCAGGGATACGGGGGGAGTACTCTGGGTTCGGGCCAAATTCCGAGCTCGTAGCCCTCTCCTCGGACAGCACCTCAAATACGTATACTCTCTTTACTCTATCGGATTATTTGTTAGCATGAACTCGTGAAATATTATAAAAAACGCAATCAGTACCTGAACTGTCAACCACAAAGTCGCATAAATAGAAAGCATTTTAAAATAGGCAAACTCTGCTGATTAGGATTGAAAACTCTGACATAGTTATGAAGAAGTGCCTTTTATAATATTTTGCGGCATCACGTCCTGTCTAGTTAGGACATGGTGTTAGAGTTGTTGGTGCTCTGCGTAACTTTTGAAAATCTCACAAATTAGATGTATTTTTGGTGCAAATATATGTAATTCTATTTTCTCCATGAATCAGTTTCCTTACTGCTAAAATACGTGCATAATAAGTGACTTAAATAAACAACGCTAGTGAGTCAAAAGCAAGCACTGCTGACCTTGTAGTGCGATTCTCATACCAATGAATATTTGAATCAGTTATTTTAAGGCCAATTCATACTGAACCGACAGATGCCAACATACGGCAACAGACACTTTGTCCAGTTTTGTTGGATTCTGTTGCCGTTTGTCTGCACTTGTTTTTGCCAATTGAACATGTTGAGTCGGTGTTTGTCGGGTCATTGATGTACTGTAATCTGATGATTGTCTGCATTGGTAGGCGGAATTGGCCTTTAGTGAATCAAATGCAGATGGCGATTCCGATTCCCAATCTAATGATCCTACTGATTCAGTTCATTTTAGTGAATCAAACACATGTAGTTTACAACTAACAGTGAGACTTAAATCAGTGAAGTTACTGACTGGTTGTTCATTTGACAATATGTACAGTAGGTAAAGAAACGCATTATGTATTTTGTCAGTAGTATTTTATATTAATTGTTAATCAATGTTACCATATTTTTAGTTTGTTTAGTATGGTGGCCAATTATTGGATTGCACCTCTAAAAAAACTTAGAAGAATTTTTTATTATTTACTTTTTTATATATACTGTATATTCAATTGTTTTACTTTTTAATAATTCAGTCACTCATGTCGCCGGAAAGCAACAATGTCAGGTCTTTTTGTCACTGCAGAGTGCTTTATATGACATTCAGGGGCTGTAAGAGTATCCAAAATCACCCGGAAAGATATCTTAAAGACACAAATTCTTTGATCACCATCCAAATTGGCTGCTGTGCCCACCTCTGTTAAAGTGCTCTTTGTAGGCCTTTGCGTTCCTCACTTTCTTCTAATCATCTTTTTGCTCTTTCTCTCACTGAGCCGAGCATCACGCAGAGCGGTGCCTTAACCTGCACACCTCTCTTGATGTGCAAATAGGGCTGTAGCGCTTCTGCTCTGGCTCCTTCCTGGTATTGAGTTGAGTATATAAGTTGTCAGCTCTCTAGAATAAATTGCCCTGCTACAACTATGAGGTTCATAAAAACTGAAGCTAGATGCACTTTTAAATTACTCTTCCACTATCTCACCGGCCAGTGCGCCACTTGCTCCTAACTGTCAAAATATCATTTTTACCACCCAAGTTTCCTGACACCTTGGCAAAAAAATATTGACTAAGCAACTCCAAAGAATAAAGATTTGACAAACTTTATCAAATCCCAGTACTTACTGGCAGCATGAGATATCAACGGCAAAAGACTTGATTTAATCCGTGTAAATTCTTCAATGAACTGTGGTTGAAGACAAAAAATATATTTTTGAAGCGAGTCAGTCTGCGGAGTTTAAATGAAGCGGGTGCTAAAAAGATTTGTGCGAACGACAAGGTAATTGCTTGAAAGAATAGATCAAACACTGAGTTCTTTCAAATTTATATTGGAAAATCCAAACTCCTGTCCTGCTGAGGCTCGCATGAGAAATGAGTTTCCGTATTAGTATGCATCCTTCCTCAGTGAAAAGAAATACTGCTAAATGCCACAGTAAAGACCAAATAATTGATTCAGCTTCAAGCATTAAGAACAAAAATCTATTAGGTTTGGTGAATACTAGGGTTAATGATATAGCTTACTAAAATATATTTATGTGCTTGGAAAAAATTTAAGTAGGCTATATATTTGGATTAGAGGAGCCATCATTTCAACCAAAAAGCATAGGTGTCATTTACAGAGGGAACATTTCGCAATTTGTCCTTCAACTTATTGAAATAGCTTGCAGCAAAAATGTCTCTAATAAAGAGGAAGCATTTTCTGTTGTTGAGCAGAATGTTTTATTAGTGCGTGTGCCGTGTGATAATGATGGGCGATTGTTTGCTGGAATATTTTGCTGGGTGCTCTTTGTGGTTCATTGATGGTGGAAAGTGTTTCTTTATATTACTTCTTTTTTTGTGGCCACAATATATTCCAGTATAAAACTAAATGCAAACAAAAGTTCTGATTTACATCCACTGACAAACAGCAGCAAATTTGATTTCATTAGGATGGATGGATTTGGATTCCAAATTCATATGGGACACAGAAATAAAAAATTCTGTCAATTATTCACCCTCAAGTTGTTCCAAACCTGTATGAGTTTTGTTCTTCTGTGGAACATAAAAGAAGATATTTTGAAGAATATGGGTAACCAGACAGTTGATGGGCCCCATTGACTTCCATAGTAGGAAAAATATACTCTGAAGTCAACTGTTTGGTTACAGAGCTTCTTCAAAATATCTTCTTTTGTGTTCAGCAGAAGAAAGACTCATACAGGTTTGGAACAACATCAGGGTGAGTAAATGATGACAGAATATTCATTTTTGGGTGAAGTATTCCTTTAAAGATAAAACAACAAATAAGTAACAATTTATATAGGAATGCTATATTATCTACTGTAAGTCTGTTAAGATCTATTCACACACCAAGGACGATAACTAAAGTAATAGCTGTACCAATTCTACTGTATGAAAATAGGGAAGTCCACACCACAGCTGTAATGATATAATGACACAGACGAACAATATCGTTGAAATCACTTTCAGAATGATTTTTTTTTCCAGCTTTTGAATGATAAACACATTTTCACCCAATCAGAATTGAGAAAATCCACATTTTAGCAAAGTCAGACTAACTACCCATTCGCACTTAGAAAGACAATCACATTCTGTTTATTATAAGCGTGCACTGAAATTTTGTTGTCTGCTGCTTTAAATGCTGGAGATCTTTTGAGGACACAACTAGTTTACAACTATGTTTTTCATTTGTACTGCAACTATATTATATTATAGACTACTGATAGCAGCGGCAGGAATCCCTCCGTCACACACACAGACAAAGATCTGGTGGGAGGAGACGTGGTTCTGATGCCTTTACCAAACTGTGATGGCAACATCACGACTTGGACGGGAAAAAATCCTTTTAAGGGTCACATCTTCCCGGTTTTGGTTTGTTTACATGCTTTTGGTCTGTTGCGTTCATATATTATTTTGAACCTCACCAGAGTTCAATTGGAAGTGGACCGAGACCCATCTTTTCAACGGTCTCGGTTCGCTTGTTTGGTGCGCACCAGGGTTCAGATGGCAGCATTCACACTTATTCAAATTAATCGGTCTAAATGAGAGCAATCGAACCAAACATAACAAGTGTGGACACACCCTTAATTACACAGGCCAAACCAATCAACGCAATGAATACCAGGTGTGCCAATCAATCAAACAATGAAAAACCATAGTAACTGATAAAAAACCAAGGAAGTTGAACTAAACATGAACAAAACCCACCGAAAACCGAAGCAAACACAGATAAACCATGACATTATGAAAGTACACTTTGAAATATACTCTCAGTAAACTACTAGTTTAGTAGTTTTATACTGCAAGTACACTTAGAATACCTAATTATACTTCCTAAGTATATCTCGATCAAAAAATGTTGTAGCTACATGTATAGGCCTAATATACTTTTCTGTCAGTATAAGCCAAGTATACTTAAGTGTAATATTAAGGATATTTCTGAGAAGTACATAAAAAGTAGACTGAAAGTATACTTTCTTATTTTTAGTTTAAAAGAAGTATACTAGTAGCACAGCTCATTTTTTTGTAAGGGTACTATATAGTGACTTTCAAGTTGAGTTGTGTATATTCATACTGTGTATATTTTGGGTCACTGTAACTACATAATTTTTTACAAAAATTATATAAATAGGCTACTTCCATGATGTATATCACTTATTTCTGAGTGAAATACATTTTTGAATCAGGTTCAGTTGGTCATGCAATTTCACCACGCTGACCAACAGACAGCTGCTCGGTTTGATTGTGACTTTTTGTGTGAGCGGTGCTTCATGTCCATGAAATTTCGCTATTGTGATCACACCTTAAGTTTAATTCATAAGCTTTATGAAAACATGTCTTAATTCTCTCCTACTCAAAAGTCAAAAGGAATTTTTGATTAGTCCAATGACACAATCTGAGGTTGCGTCATTTTATATTATCAGCATAATCATCATGAATTTGGGTAATATTCAATATATCACTCAGTTCTAGTGTTCTAGCTCAGTTCATAAATGTGTGTGTGTCTGTGGAGGCAGAGATTGCTCCCCTGTAACATACACTGCTCGTCACAGCCAGAGATTGGTCTCCAGGGCGGTCCACAGGTGTTAAAGGTCTCAGCATCATGAGGAGAGCAGAGAGATGAGCAGATGAGCCTGGTGCTTTGGAGCCCATACCAGCAGTCATATCAATGATGCCACCCCCACCTCATACAAAATTGATATGAACAGCAGGGTCGAGTCAAGTTCAACCGGTCCGGAGACACAGCACTTTCCAGAAAAGCCCTGAGGCAAACGTAACCCCACTTCACAGCTCCCTTCACTTGATCTCCGTTTTCTTCTGCTATCACAGCCTGCGCGGATGTCACCTATTTGCCACTGTGTGTCAAGTGCCCTTGATCGGGGCTCACTTTCCTATTTTTACCCAACTGAAAACCGCTTATTGACGTCGAACGGCTCTTATTTGCATCTCTCGCGAAAGGTTTCGCATTAGAAGCCGCTGATTATTTGAAAAGAGCAGGAAAGCTATTTCATTCTGAGATGTCAAGAGCATTTTGTTCTTGGCCCTTACCCTGATCCTTGCTATGTTCCTGACATATACAGCTGCTCTTAGAGATAAACATGGTGAAAAGAAAAGATAATAAATATACATGATTGAAAACGTTAAGAAGCTGTGACTGGAACCAATGCATCAAGTCAAGTACTATTCCGTCATATATGCTCAGTTATGGATGTGTGGTTAACCTGTTGTGCCATCCTCTAAAGCCGCACTTGACAGCAAATGTGTATTCTTAAGAATAAATTTGTGAATTTCGGAGTGTGGGTGGTGGTAACCAGCTCATGTCCTTCCTTGTCAGTAATTTTCCCTCTAAACTGCTCCTTTTTTCTGTTCCTCTCATGGGAAAAAGATCCGTGCGGAAGGCTAAACAATGTTTCCATCTGAAATATTAGTTGTTGTTGGTTTGCAGTATGGAACTGAAAATATATATGTACCCTTACATACCCTGGAATCTTAATACTGTGTGTTACCTGAATGTTTTTTTTTTTTTTGTGATAGTTGTTCATGAGTCCCTTGTTTGTCCTGAGCAGTTAAACTGAGCACTGCTCTGCAAAGAAAAATCCTCCAGGTCCTGCACATTCTTTGGTTTTCCAGCATCTTCTGCATATTTAAACCCTTTTCAGCTGTGGCTGTATGATTTTGAGATTCATATTTTCAGACTATTGAGGGATTTATACACAACTATTACAAAAGCTGCAAATAATCACTGATGCTCAAGAAGGCAACGCAGTGAATTAAGAGCCAGGGGGTGTCAACTTTTGAACAGGATGATGATGTGTACGGTTTCCTTATTTTGCTTAAAGATCAAAAAAAAAAAAAAAAGGGGTACTGCCCTCCAGAAGCTCCAGAAGCTGCTTACATGTTTCTCAGAAGACAAAAGAAAATTACGCTGATCACCCAATTCAAAAAGTTTACACCTCCCAGCTCCTAATGCATCATGTTGCCTTCTTGAGCATCAGTGCATCAATGCTTCATCTGAAGATATTTTTTTTTATTCTTATCTGGGCCCTGTGTCCAAAGCATTTTCTCACGCAGCTGGCCTATTTTTCCAGTTGTTTTCAAAGGGAGCGCCGCATTTCTAGAACACCAGGATCGTGACGAGGCGTTGAGTGTCTATTTCACGCTGAAGCTCATCACTGTGACTTTTTACCGTCCAATCACAGTGTAGGAAGGGCGGGACAAATACCACACCGACCAACCGCCACATTCTGCGCGTACAACGTCAACAGATGACAACAACAAGCATATTGACGGAACAAAATCATTTAAAACAAGAGACAGAGCAAATCATTTACATTGTATCGACATTTTTATATAGAAACAACACAGAATCAAACTCTGTGAAATGAGATATTAGTAATACTTCTGCGAATATTCCCTATCATAAGCGAAGCGTCTCAACTGAAAAAAGAAACCTCCCAAAACGCTTTTAAACGCCTACAGCTAGGCATTTTCAGCTGGCTAAAAACGCTTTGGTGGACACGCGGCCTTAGTCTTTATTTAGTAAATCGTGAATAACTGGAAAGGTTATAGGGCCTTCAAATATTTTTGTGGACAATGGGGGGCCCTGGAGTCAAACACATTGAGAACCACTCATATATAAGACTGTTTTATTATTTACACCTCCATTAGCGTTTGCTAGTGAATTAACGCATAACAGTTGGCCCTTTTTCTCTCAGCATCTGTTCCTGGGGTGTGCAGACACATGGGAGTTCAACCCAGCTGACGCCCTGTCAGAGTAAATGACAAGCGAGGCCTCAGGATCCTCAAATGATCTTGCGCCCTTTGAAAATCTGTCCGTATTAGTGGGCTGGCCTCTGGATTGCATGCTAGCCGTTAGAGCCTCAGGTGGGCTTGGGTCTTAATGATAGGCGTAGATGAGGTGTGAGGAAGTGGAATTGATGATACTCTCCGGCGCTAATCATCACACAATGAAAAGGACAGCAAAAGGAGCTGCAGTGAAATCTTTTAGCACAAGAAGTCAACACGAATTTCCGTTTGCAATTCCTTTTACCTCCATAATATGATGCATTTCCTAGAGAAACAGGACACATTCAATGAGAAAAAATGTAGATGGGTTATTCTATACCACAATGCAGCCGGATTTTCATAGGCAGTTCGGGTTTTGAAATAGTTCTTTTCTTATTGAAATGAATCAGGGATGAAATGTAATACCAATCTGATTCAGCTTTGTAATGATACATTGATATTCCACGTGACATTTGTACATCCAAAACAAAATCAATTTCAAAGGTTATCACGAAAAATCACTCAAAATCAGCAGTTATCATAACACATTGAGTTGTGTGTGCACTATTATCTGTCTGTTTGTGTGTCTGTAGGTGGTCTCTGAACGGCACATTGATTAATCTCAGTACTGATTCCCGTCGGCGGCTATCTGGGGGGAATTTGGTCATTAGAAGTCTGGACCGGGCCCAGGATGGAGGAATATACCAGTGCACTGCCTTCAACCCACAGGGAGCAATTCTTAGCAGAAGATCTAGCCTCCAGTTTGCATGTGAGTCATCGACTGTGCGTTAGCATGCTATATTATTGCTTCAGCCGCTCAATGCAGGGTGACAGGTGTTAGAGTGGACGCTGCCAATACTGGACTAGCTTAAAGAATGAGTGAAATGAGTTAACAACACCTATAATGCAGCAAATGCAATCATAAATATAGATTCTACAGGAAAATGAATGATTATGAAGATAAAAGGTTGTTATATGGATTATATCTTTGGCTCTAGTGCACATACATTTTTGTATGTTTGTATAGACACTGAAAAATACGTTAGTAATATTAACGTGCATATAAACAACTTTAGAATTGTTAATACATTTTTTAGATTCATAATATATGGAATTTGTGTTGGTTGATTTTTATTGCATTTTATAAATGACACTAATTAAATATGTTCAACTCCATTACATTTAACACATTTAACTAATTTGACTCAAAATAAAAAAGTATATATAATATTATACTGAAACTCAAATTGTCGTGTACATTTTAGTACATGTCATGTACTAAATTGTGTGTACATTTATCTCCCTCTAAGGTTTTTTTAACATTTCTGAAGTGTATACATGAAAGCTTTTACATTTTAGTTCTTTTGCATATATCCAAAAGTAGAAAAATGTATGTTTAAACATTCTGCACACATTCGTTTGAGATCGATTGCTAGAAATGTATATATATTACATTTGCATATAACATATTTTTCTGCATCATTTTAAAGATGTCGCTGTGTGCAAACAGTGTGTGATTTCTGTGTGGCACTGACATTACTGAATGAAATTGCAAAAATAATGAGGTTTTCTGTCATTGGTAGTACAAACAGGTAGCATACAGTTATTCAATACATAGTTTAGTCATGAAACTCTAACCAAGTACTGATTGGTTCCTCTAACACCGTGGCATTAGCCATCGAGACGCACTTCCTATTCCACACAGCCACATATATTCGTACCCTATCCTGCAATCGTCCTGCTGCGCAATTATGAAAAATTCTGTTTACCCCTCCTCCTCCCCAGTGCCACATGTAGAGATCTGCTGTGGGGGGAGGGGCGGGGTTTAATATATTCTTGGAGCAGGATGTTCTTTATGCATGTTAGTTTATTTAACTAAGCTGAACAAATTCTTGTATTCGCTAAGCAGCAGCATAGCAGATCTCATCTGCCAAAAATCGAGCATATGTACATTCCATGCCCCATGCCAATAAATGCTGGTTAAATAATTCACTCCGAGAGTTGACATGATTGAACTAATAGTAATAAAAATAAACAAATGTTGTTATTAATTAATCAGGTCTGTGCGCTGTGTATGGACAACCTCTGCCAGTCATATAATTTTACAGCCGTGAATAATTCATTTTAATGGATAAAATGCATCTGGAAAATAGCGCAGGTCACAGTGTGAGCAGTATGGGGGAAAATTTCACAATCCAAGCTGCCCAAACCTTGAGGATGCGTCATGTTAAGTGTTGCATTAAGCGCTTTAAACACACTCTTTAAGCATATTGTTTAACGTGGCTTGCTCTGTAAAGTGCTTTGAGTGGTTACGTTTTTTTTTGTCCAAACCTGTAAGTATGAAAAGGGTGGGACAAGTATCCTTGTTCAAAGAAAACCTTCATTTTATAGTTTATAGCCTAAATGACTTCAATTGTTTACCGAAAGGTTATAACAAAAAGTTTTATTTTAGCAGGCTCTAGAAGATTTTCTGAGGCTCATAACAGCAGTAGTTAAGACGGGATATCAGTTTTTACTGACTTCTATTGAAAATAGCAGTTTTGGCTATTGATTAAAGTCTAGTTGAGATGAATCATGGTGACTCTTTTCATGGGGCCGCCTTCCACATTCGTTTATTTTTTTAATTTCCCCTACAATCTCATTTTTCCTTGCTTTGTTGACTTTGATGATGAAATGCTTATGGACAAATATGTGATTAATTTAGAGCTTGTTGGTGAGCATGACCGGATGACTCTACGAATACGCTTTCTTCATCTCTTGGGACGTGACCTCTATGGTTTCGGCCACCATTTGTATATAAAATGGAGTCAAGAAAATCTAAATCAACTCTTTTAATATCTCCAGACACCTGGTGCTCAACACAATCCATTGGTCTCCATGCTGGCCTTGAATGCAGATGTCTGGTCCTTCACTTTGTATGTGTCACCCCTTGGAGCTTGCATTTTATCAGTTGTATATACTGATAATAACCCACTGGCAACACATAAGGAGATACCTATGGGTGGGCCAAGCACAGATCATGAACAATATGAACCATCTCACTCGGTCAACAACAGGGAGATCAGAGCAGAACACCAGCTGACCAAAGCTCTGGCAGTCGACGTTGAGATGAGAGAGGGCGTTAAAAGAAAAAGAAAGACTTCCGGCAGGTCAGAAAGCAGAGAATGGAAAAGGAAGAGATCAAACCACCACTTCGATTCTGATTCTGTAAGTGATTCCCTCAGCTCAATGTTTTCGCATCCAGCATCACTGGAGAAACATTCAGAGATGATGACCTGAGGTGAGGTCAGATCTGCAAGATAAAGAACACCTGCTGACCTTTTTCCTCCATTACTTGGAGAAAAATTCAGAGATGATGACTGGCCTGGACCTTCTCACAGAAACAACAGTGAGGTCAGACCATCTAATGACCAGAGCAGCCAAGATGAGTCGAGACAAGGAGGGAGAAGAAAAAGAAAGACTTCTGAACCCCAAGACACTCAAAGCAAAAAGAAGATTCAGGCCAAAACATAGAGATGACTGACAAATTGAAGATATCTCTGGTTGGTCTGTTATGCTGTGGAGGGCATTTTGCTGGCATGGTTTGGGTTCACTTGTCCCCTAATGCCCCGATATACTGTACTCACGGTGAAGTTCTTTTTCATTCTTCACTTGGGGGTAAAACGAAATTTGAAATATGTGACCAGCGATATCGAACATCCGATGCCGCCCACACTGCTGAAAGCAGTGTTTAGATGAATTAGTAAAGATCTTCTGTGTGCTTTCCTCACAATAACAAAATAAACACACAACAAACATGAGAAAACAGAGAGCATCTGATCATAGCAACATGGATATGTTTGCACGAGATCTGCAATTCGGCACTCTAGTAAAGTCACGTCACGTTCATTTTTATAGCACTTTATACAATAGATTGCTTAAAATCAAGCAGCTTTACCGTATTAAACATAAAAAACAGTGTCAGTTTTCTCGGTTCATCATTTTTTTATTCGCCGACATCTGACCTCAATGGACTGAAAAGAAGAAATTAACTGGAAAAGATTTCAACGTGAAAGAAGGTGTTTACCAGCCATAGCAAACTTTTCTGGAAAGTTTGGTTTGGCAAGCTTTTTCTAACTCCCAAAACAAACTCCAAACGAAGTTCGTCTTGCCCTGATTTTGTTCGAAATTACGTTACATCAGTTCGTTCTTCGATTTCGCTTGAAGTATATTTGAAGCCTTTAGAGGGAACTTTATCCTCTGATGAACAATATCTATCCTGATGGGAGTGGACTCTTTTCAGGATGGTCCCCACTCATAGGGCATAAGGTTACTGAATGTTTTGAGGAGTATAAAAAATGGTGCGAATCATATGCTATGGCCATCGCAGTCCCCGTATCTCAACCCAATTGAACACCTTGGACCAGCGTGTCAGACAGCGTTCTCCACCACCAATGTTAAAACACCAAATGAGGGAATATATTTTGTACTATATCCCTCCAGTAGAGTTCCAGGGGCTTGTAGAATCAAAGCTAAGGTTCATGGAAGCTGTTCTGGCAGAACATGGTGTCACCTGATGTTGTTTTTTCCTTTCATTTCATTTCACCCTCTGCATCTTACATTTGACAGTTGTATCCTGATATGTAAATTTTGAAAATTCACACAAGTATTTCTACTTTGCATAAAGGCAAATCCAGACAGTGATTCACCATTAAACTTCACTGTTTGCATGCACGCCAAACAGATGGATCACAATAGAGAGAAAACGCAATTCATTTTGAGTGGGAAAATATTCATCATTGATGATTTGAAATATTTGTTGTTGGATGGTCAATTTAAAACATGTAAATTAACATGTTACAAGTCTAGCATTAGCAATAAAGAAATGGCAAGAACTTGTTACTATGATCAGAGGTGTACGTTTTTTGATTTACTTAATCATAATCAGCATCCATTTATGTTTTACAATGTAAGAATGTATAGCCTACATACATTCACTTTTTTTATATATATATATTTTTTAAATAAAATTTGGCTTTTTGTATGAATAATTGACAGAATAATCGACTATTAAAATGATCCTGTTGAAGCCCTAGTCCCACGACAAACTCATGCCATTGGTTGAGCCGATGTTGGGCTGGTCTGGATGCTCAAACAAACTACAGAGCTGCAGTGTTTGAACTTTTGGGGAGAATTAAGTTATGAATGGTTGTCTCTACATGTTAAGCTGATATAAAATAAATCAGCTCTGAGGTATTTTCATTTTCATGCTCACGTCTAGCACTGCTGTATCTTCTGACTTTTTTTTTTATACCTTTCAGACTTGAATTTAAAAACTCAAACAAAAAGCGCTGTCTCTGTGCGAGAAGGCCAGGGGGTTGTTTTACTTTGTGGTACACCATCATATGCAGGAGGTAAGGCTTTTATAGTATTACTTTTTTGCCTTATATTTCAGTCTAGCATAAATATGCTACACATATGAAATAAAAAGTTAGGACTCTTATCCGTGTGCTCCATGGAATTTAATATGTGTTTTGAATGGGAAGAGCTTGCACACTCTGTCCTTGTAGTCTCTTGAAATGTTTACAAATTCGCAGGACTTTAAGTGTGGACTTTCAAAAGTTTCAAAAGTTCATCTCATTTGATATTTGAGTCTATGCACCGGACAACTATTGGGTCCATATGGACCAAATAGGTGTTAGCTACATGTATGTTACCGGTGTGGTCGGAATTATTGGCACCCCTGGTAAATATGATCAAATATGGCTGTAAAAATGAATATTAATTGTTTATCCTTTTGATCTTTCATTAAAAAAAGTGCAAAACTGCAACCTTTTATTGAAGTAAATGAATTGAAAGTGTGTGTGTGTGGGGTGTGGGGTGGGGTGGGGTGGGGTGGGGTGGGTGGGGGGGGGGGGGGGGGGGGGTCACATTATGAAATAAAAGTTTTTCACCAAAGCACGTTGGCCACAATTATTGGCACCCTTTATTAATTATTGCCTTTTTGCAACCTCCTTTTGCCAAGATAACAGCTCTGAGTTTTCAACATCAAAGATCCAGCAGTATATTTAACCGTGGGCATGGGGTACTTTTTATCCCTGTTAGAACCAAACCCATCTGGTGGGTTTGCTGCCAAAAAGCGATTTTTTTAGTTTCATCTGACCACAGAACCTCATCCCATTTGAAGTTCCAGTCGTTTCTGACAACTGAATATGCTGGAGTTTGTTTTTGGATAAGCGAGGAGGATTTTTGTTGAAACCCTCCCAAACAACATGTGGAGATGTAGGGATTGTTTGATTTTTTTTATGTATTTTACCCCAAGACTCAACTAATCTCTGCAATTCTTCATCTGTGATCCTTGAAGAGTCTTCGGCCACTCAAACTCTCTTCCTCACCGTGCATTAAGACAATAGACACACGTCCCCTTCCTGGCAGATTCGTAACATCTTTAGTTGATTGGAATTTCTTAATTTTTGCCCTGATGGTGGAAATGGGGATTTTCAATTCTTTAGCTATTTTCTTACAACCCTTTCTATTTTGTGAAGCTCGACAATCTTTTGCTGCACATCAGAACTATATTCTTTGGTTTTACTCATTGTGATGGATGATTTGGCCTTTGAGTTTCCTCAAATGTATACGTCTTCCTCATATTAATACGTCATATTTATAAGTCATAGCTAGACAATTTAATGTTAAGTCACCCTGGTGTGATTAAAAAATGTAAATATTAATGGGAATATACTTCTCAGATATTTTACTCATAAAAAATTATAGGGCTGCCAATAATTGTGGCCAACGTGTTTTGGAGAAAAACATTTATTTCATAATGTGATTTTTCCCCCACTTTCAATTCTTTTACTTCAATGAAAGCTTAGAGTTTTGTGAATTTTTGAATGAAATCAAACAATGCAGATTTATTTGTACAGCCTTTGATCATATTTACCAGGGGTGCCAATAATTCTGACCACAACTAAACTGTATATACACTCACCGGCCACTTTATTAGGTACCCCATGCTAGTAACGGGTTGGACCCCCTTTTGCCTTCAGAACTGCCTCAATTCTTCGTGGCATAGATTCAACAAGGTGCTGGAAGCATTCCTCAGGGAGTTTGGTCCATATTGACATGATGGCATCACACAGTTGCCGCAGATTTGTCGGCTGCACATCCATGATGCGAATCTCCCGTTCCACCACATCCCAAAGATGCTCTATTGGGTTGAGATCTGGTGACTGTGGAGGCCATTTTAGTACAGTGAACTCATTGTCATGTTCAAGAAACCAATTTGAAATGATTAGAGCTTTGTGACATGGTGGAAGTAGCCATCAGAGGATGGGTACATGGTGGCCATAAAGGGATGGACATGGTCAGAAACAATGCTCAGGTAGGCCGTGGCATTTAAACGATGCCCAATTGGCACTAAGGGGCCTAAAGTGTGGCAGGAAAACATCCCCCACACCATTACACCACCACCACCAGCCTGCACAGTGGTAACAAGGCATGATGGTTCCATGTTCTCATTCTGTTTACGCCAAATTCTGACTCTAACATCTGAATGTCTCAACAGAAATCGAGACTCATCAGACCAGGCAACATTTTTCCAGTCTTCAACTGTTCAATTTTGGTGAGCTCTTGCAAATTGTAGCCTCTTTTTCCTATTTGTAGTGGAGATGAGTGGTACCCGGTGGAGTCTTCTGCTGTTGTAGCCCATCCGCCTCAAGGTTGTGCGTGTTGTGGCTTCACAAATGCTTTGCTGCATACCTCGGTTGTAACGAGTGGTTATTTCAGTCACTGTTGCCCTTCTATCAGCTCGAACCAGTCTGGCCATTCTCCTCTGACCTCTGGCATCAACAAGGCATTTCCGCCCACAGAACTGCCGCTCACTGGATGTTTTTTCTTTTTCGGTCCATTCTCTGTAAACCCTAGAGATGGTTGTGCGTGAAAATCCCAGTAGATTAGCAGTTTCTGAAATACTCAGACCAGCCCTTCTGGCACCAACAATCATGCCACGTTCAAAGTCACTCAAATCAACTTTCTTCCCCATACTGATGCTCGGTTTGAACTGCAGGAGATTGTCTTGACCATGTCTACATGCCTAAATGCACTGAGTTGCCGCCATGTGATTGGCTGCTTAGAAATTAAGTGTTAACGAGCAGTTGGACAGGTGTACCTAATAAAGTGGCCGGTGAGTGTATATATATATATATATATATATATATAAAGCATAGTCTTTAACATACTGTAGCTTAGGCTTCTCATACCCTATGATAATTTTGGATGCACCTGGATAAGATTTCTGAAGTGCTACTGGGAGAGAAAAGTAGGATTGGTGCCCTAATGATAATACCAAAAAGTACAAAGAATTTCTCATTTAAGTTCCCTAAGATGATATATGTTCTGTGTCCCATCTCCTTTCCAGATCTCTCATTTGCATGGGTCTTTAACGAGTACCCTTACTTTGTTCAGCAAGACAATCGTCGCTTTGTCTCTCAGGAGACGGGAAACCTTTACATCGCCAAAGTGGAGCCTTCGGATGTGGGTAACTACACGTGCGTGGTGGTAAACCGCATCACTAAAGGCAAAGTCCTCAGCTCCCCGACCCCTCTGGTACTACGAACGGATGGTAAATATCAATGTTTTTTTAAGTGGGCAGAAGCTGAATCATTAAAGCTTTATTTTTTTTGGACATGGGTTTCATTCCCATGGTGGAATATACAAATGTTTTTGTTTTTTTTTATAAATAGAGTAGCGGGATAATTTACAGCAGTGGGATTTCATTTGGTTTCATGTTAGATTTGACTGATTCAATTCAAAGCATTGATGAACACCCCACCCCCTGACTAAAACTAAAGAAAAAGTATATATACATATGCCCATACAGTAATTATTACATCATAGTAAATGTTTTACCTGGTACAAATTTGTAGAGGGCTCTTAAAGTTATATCTTTCCTTGTCAGATGCCTAAAATCTGTTGATTCTTCAGCTGATTCTATAATTACAGAAAAATATGAACTAACTAAAACTAAACTGAAATGTGAAGTGTATTTGAAACTAGCATTTAAATCAACAAAAACAGAAATGCATTTTTTGACTTTGAATACAACACTAATTTAAATTGCTTAGAATTTGATAGCAACACAGAAAACACTTTCTTTGGTTTTGAATTGACAGCATGCAAACACTTTCTTTTTTTTACCATAAGACAGTGTAAATTAGTTTTACATAGCATTTTTAGCAGCCATAGTTTCATGAACGGCCCAGTTTACTCTCCAAGAAAGGCTTTCACAGTCCTAAACATACTTTGTCATGAAGTAAACATAAACAATGGCTATATAAAATATTTACAGACACTGTAAAAACTGCAGCAAACACCACACCTCTCTGCGTTGTGTCAGACTCCAGATTGGTATGAATTATTTGTTGCCTTTGTTTTAACCGCTTGTTCTCGGGAGAAGAAGCCGTTTACCTACTAACACTGTTTCGTATTTATCATAAAATATACAGTAGTCTCTCTTATTATACATAATCAGTGAATGAATTATGAATGGAAAAATAACACTGTTTTTCCCCTCATAGGCGTAATGGGTGAATATGAGCCGAAAATAGAGGTTCATTTCTCTGACATGGTTCCGGCTGCAAAGGGATCAGTTGTGACACTGGAGTGTTTTGCTTTGGGGAAGTAAGTGGAATTCTGCACCCTTTTGTAGTTACTGATGCCCGACTTTTAATGGTACTCTGTCATTGAGCTTAATGTGTTTTTCAACTTGGCCCTTTTCCACCTCTTCTCGCCACCTTTTAAACATGCTTGTCAAAGTCTGTTTGGGAAATACCGTATAACAGTCTAGTTTTTGCCTTGAGGCAATTTTTCTGTCTCAATTGATCCCATTAGTGGATGAGCCATATACGTTTCCCTTGCAAAAAGAAATGAGATGGTGTCTTATGAGGAAATGTTTCTCATTTAGTATGTTAGAGCTGAGATATGAGTAGGACCGACAGTAATCTACAAAATAATGAAATTATACAAAATACCCATTCTTTATCTTCATCTTTTCTGTTTCCCTATCTCTCTTTCTTTTTTCTGCTCTGTGTAGCTTTTTCATTTTTCTCTTTTGCTATTGCAAGATTACTCACCATAGTTTCTCATACGTTCAGCCCAGTTCCAGAGATAACGTGGAGGAGAGCGAATGGAGTGCCGTTTCCCAGCAAGGTGAAGATGAAGAACTCAAATGTAGTCCTGGAGATTCCCAGTTTCCAGCAGGAGGACGCCGGAGGCTATGAATGTGTGGCAGAGAATAAAATGGGAAAAAACACTGTGCAAGGACGACTGTCTTTCCACGGTATGATTATTTCACTCATAGTTTTTGTACTGCATCTTTAGTGCATGTGGTATGATCATTTTTTGCTATAAAAATTACAAGTGATGCATAATTACAATTAACTAACCTATGGTTAGTTAGCTAAGGATAAAGTTCCCAGACAGCACTATGGTGCTGTCTGGGATGTAGTCAAGTTAGTATAATGTAACTACATCACCTTAAAATAAAGTGTAACCGCAATTTCTTGCAATTAAAATAATGTATTCAGAATTTTACAAATAATTCGAAGCAAGCTAGGTCATTTTCTGCCATGACACAACAATACCTCTCCATTGTGGTATAATGACGTAAAAGGTATCATTGTGGTTGTGCAAATAGTACTGTAAAAATGACTGAAAGAATGGCAATGAGTTGCTAAGAATATTTTGTAAATACAGACTGAAAATATAGTGGACTAAATATACAGTTTAGTGTGTCTATGGTGCTGTTGTACACATGGTTTGGTTGTGTAATCCATTGTACTAATCCATTTTATTATTTCCTAGTACTGTTACACATTGGTTGGATATTAGTAGGAGTTACAGAAGCTGTTGTCTCTGCCATATTGTTTCTTGTGTTGTTGAAATTAATTCTTGCTAATAATTTAAAACACTTAATGTTTATTATTGTTGTCATAACCAATCAAATTCTTGCCGGCGTTTACTATGAGGAACCCTGCCAGTTCAGTCACTTCACAATTGCATTGAATTTCTTTCTGATTACTTTCTGCCCTGTCTGGACTTTCTTATATTTTCCATAACCGCATAGTAAAGATCAAAATAAACTGAGCTCACGTAATGGATTTGGCAGAGTAATGTTGCGTCGTGCCAAGACTCAGCAGTGCTAAATGCTATAATTTGAGACACTTTTGTTGATCCAGAAAGGTGTCAAATGGCAAGAGTTACAGTTTTATAGAGCCAAATTAGATAGATAGATAGATAGATAGATAGATAGATAGATAGATAGATAGATAGATAGATAGATAGATAGATAGATAGATAGATAGATAGATAGATAGATAGATAGATAGATAGATAGATAGATAGATAGATAGATAGATAGATAGATAGATAGATAGATAGATAGTTAGAGATAGATAGATAGATAGATAGATAGATAGATAGATAGATAGATAGATAGATAGATAGATAGATAGATAGATAGATAGATAGATAGATAGATAGATAGATTGAGGATGGATGGATATTTAGTTAGATAACAAACATGCATGAAGAACTCTTTATCTCACCTCTGGTGTGTTATCATTATATTTTAGTTAATAACGGTACTCGTTATTATCAATTCAGACACTGCAATTAGGTCAGCTCTAATTATCAAGCCATTTTACTCTCCAATTTATTCATTATTTTACCTTAGTTTTATAAGATCAAACTTCAGTTCCAAATCTAACACCAAAGTTTGTTTCAAAGAGACATCGTTGGCAAATTGTAGGTCTATCTGGAGCTCAAGCATTCATGGACCCATTTTTGGAGACGAGATATGACTCAATGGATTATTAGGCACTAGAAACGAGCATATGAGAATTATTACCTCCATTGGGCCTGCCATTTTCCAACGACACAACAAGAAGAACAGGCCTCGTCCTAATGATGTGGAGATCACCAGATACACGCAGAATTACAGTGTGCAGTGGCTGCCGATTGAATAGCAACATGAAAACAGCAAACAATTCCCGTGATAATTGATAGCAAAACAGCTACTCGATATCTTGGGAACCTTTCACATGTCGTGGGTTATTGATTCAAATAAAATGGATATATATTCAAAGAAGGAAAAACCCATTAGGGAAATACAAAACTCTAGCCCAAATCAGCACTGGTCTATTGCACTGGACAGATGGGATTTCAAAGGTGTTCTTTCCACTCACATCTGTGTACACACCATTTCTAAGTTCAGCTCCCTGATGAAATATTGTTATCGGGAATGCGAGTTCAAGGTTTATATATGACTTATTGAGAAGGTTAGAGGGGCAGGTGCAACTCCGACCTCCTGAAAAGACCTGGCCTCCACGAACCATACAAAACATGATAGCTTTTCTTCCCTGTGCTTTCAGAGTGCAAGCGGCCTTGTATAATGCAGACTCTTTGAAAAAGGCCAAAGCTCGGAAAAAATGAATTGGTAACAGTTGCAGGGTTAACTCGTGCGTTTCAGAGATGCTTTGCTTTAATTAATTCTTGAAAACCAGAGCTTCAATCGGTTTTCTCAATTAAGTGCTTAGTTGCCACAAAACCTGCAAGCGTTGTTCGCAGGAATAGTGATTGATGATTAATCTATAGGCATGCTTACATGGGCCTTGTGTGATTGGTGTGAATCTACGCAGAACATGGGGAGAGTGTCACATTATAGAACCGTGTGATGGTTCAATCATGAATTCAGACAGAACTGGCGGCATGAATGGAAACCTGTCATCTTTTCCATTGGCAGGAAGACCGATAGATCAAGTAATTATTGACATTTTGTGCTTTCAGTTAATCAGATAAAAGAGTGCACATGCCTCGGTAAGGCTAAACTCTGAAATCATTGTATATTTAGGTAGTTGCTGGATCAAAACAGCACAACTCTAAGTCTCTATGATATTATTGTCTCCATATATAAATAAGAAAACTTGAGCAATTTAAAAACAGTGCTTGCCTTAACAATTGTTTGTATTAAGCTTGGCAGATATATTTTAAAGATAGACAAAGCAGAATGTTTTTTTTTTTTATTGCTAGTATAATGTTTTCTTCAGACGTCAACTAAAATGATTGTCGAATTTTATTGTATTGAATTTTAATAATATCAGTATCATAATATCACTTAAGACTGTTGAGTTTATACATTACAGTTTAAAAGTTTGGTGTTATTAAGGTTTTTTTCTTTGTACTTTATTCAGCAAGAATGCATTAAATTGATGAAAGAGACAGTAAAGACATTTATAATGTTACAAAAGATTCTATTTCAAGTAAATGCTGCTTTTGAACTTTCTATTTGTCAGAGAATCCTGAATGTGTCAGTTTCCTCAAAAACAATAAGCAGCACAACTGTTTTCAACATTGATAATAATAAAAAAAAAAATTCTTGTACAATGTACATCAAATCAGCATATTAGCAGTATTATGATTTCTGAAGGATCATGTGACGCTGAAGACTGGAGTAATGATGCTGAAAATTCATCTTTACCATCATATGAATAAAATACATTTAAATTTGTGATAATATTTCACAATATTACTGTTTTTACTCTATTTTTGATCAGATAATTGCTGCCTTGGTGAGCAGAAGAGACTTTAATAAAAAAAATTGTTTATATGTAGTATAAAAAATATTAAAATATGCAATAAAATGTACCTTTTTTTTCTTCTCTTTTTTAGCAAAACCTCAGTGGGTTCAGACGATGCGAGACAACGCTTTGTCAATTGATGAGAGATTGTTTTGGGAGTGTAAGGCCAATGGCAAGCCCAAGCCTTCATACAGCTGGCTGAAGAATGGAGAACTGCTGGCAGCCGAGGTAAAACTCGGAATAGTGTTGTAGTCGTAAAAAGATCTGGGTTGACAGTGCAATGATCCTCAGTTTAAACCTCAGCAGGAGAGCTCTGTTAAATGTATATAACAGTTTTATTGATCATATAATGACTAAACTACTTCAGTCTCTGTTGTTTGAGTTGAATGCACAGTTTTTTTTAAATGCTTTTCATTGCTTGCTCTTCTGTGTCACAGGACAGGATACAGATCGAGAACGGAGCCCTGACAATCAGCTCTGTAAACCTCTCCGACGCTGGCATGTATCAGTGCGTCGCTGAGAACAAACACGGAATCATTTATTTTGGTGCTGAGCTGGTGGTGTTGGGTAAGAGAGCCTCCTGTACTTCCTCATTTCCAATTATCTTGCGCCTTTGTTCACTTTGCCGCTCCATCCCAGCAAACACAAAAACATTTTTACATTTAAAAACATTGCTTTTTGGTTGCAGTTGGGGAGCGTTGCAGTACAACATTTACAATCGTTCTAGAAACCACAACTAAAATCAAATAATTTATATACTGTATATATATATATATATATAAAATAATTTCTAAGTTTGTTTTTATTTTTTTATCATGACTGCTATTCATTTCCCTTAAATAAATTGTGATTTTTTTCATACTATTGTTTCAAGACAATGTATATGCCATACATTTCTCATTTGCAAAAAAAAAAAATTAAATGAAAGACTTCTGAAGCAACTTTCTTTTACCTTGCAACAAATGATATCAGCCTCTAAAAAGTATTATAAAAACTATTATGACATTTCAAAATGTTATTTACGTGTTGGTTACCCATTTAAGACTAGATTAGATGAAATAAATTAAGATGTGTGGCAGATGTGCTGCTATAAAGATTGCGTTATTTTAATATCTTGACAAAGCAGTTGGTGAAATATTAAAATATTCAAAGGTGGAAAAATGTGAACAATATTAAAATTGTATTTTATTTTATCATGACTGTTATTCCTTTCCCTTATCATGGCCGTTATTCACTTCCCTTCCTACATTTTCAATGTGTTGGTAGTCAAACTCCAGCTCTGACAGCATTGTGGGGAAAATGAAACGACACTTTTGTGTTACTGTGCTGAGGAAACACACACTTACAGCACGTTTCCGAACGCAACGCTGAACATGCAGAGTTGAAGGAACAGCGCTGAAATGACGTTTGAATTCTCCACTGTAATGCGATCTCATGCGTAATACAGCGCAGTGATTGAGTTAAGAGTTCCTTTTCATGAATAAATGCAGTGAACCAGATGGCGTAGAATCGTGCCTCTCCAGCGCCGGCAGCCAATCACACACTCCGGATGCACACTTCAACCTCAGATGTGTCGACTTTGCTTTTCAATCAGGAAGAGCGAAAAGCGCAAAAATAATCAAATTTACGAATGCCTTTAGTGTTTTCAGTTATGTGCAGCCTGTACATATCAGTTCAAAAAAGATTAAGATTAGCTTAGATGGAGTAAAATAAGACTAGAGTTTAACAAAAGAAATGTTTCGACAATGTACTTGAGTTTGACTAGTGTAGTTTGCACAAAAAAAACAGAAAAAAAAAAAATGTTCAAACTGCAATATGGTTCATTATAAATATAAGAACACAGGAGCTGCTCTGAGGTCTTCACAGGCAAATAAACTCTTGAAATGGACTCCCACACCAAGGAGCTGCCCTCTTTTCAACGTTTCCCATAAGAGCATTGATTTAGCAGCATTTAGAGTGGAGTGGCGTGGCACTGTGACTTTTTAGTAATGTTAATCCACTATTGATTGGCTGGTGGGAGATGAGGAAACTGTGGCCGCTCTGTTGACAACATGACAAAGCCACGACTGAGGGGTTCACTAGTGGAAAAACATTTAAGTAGACAGTGACAAAGACCAGGGAAAGATCTTTGTCATCAGCTCATACACAGACACGGGAAGAGAGAGAGAGAGAGAGAGAGATGGTGTAAAGTGGGTAGAGGTCATTAAGGACACCTCTGATTTCTGACTGCAGCCAATTCCTTCACTGGCCTTCTCTAATGATATTTGTGGAGGTGCCAGGAACCCTCCACGGGCTAATTAGGTAATAGAGATGCTATTTAACAATGCTTTAGGGCACAGCGTGTTCGCTATGACAGTGCATGAGCGGATTTCCCATTCACAGCATTGGATAAACGCTGCTTCTCGGCAGAGGAGATACATTAGACCCAATTAGCGCTAGTCTCTTAGTGTTACGTCACCGCTTTCGGAAAATGACTTGCATATAAGGGCTACTTTAAAAGCTGGATAACTTATATCAACACTGGTGTCAGCTGTCTGGGAAATATCAGCATGGCTTGATGTCATCCCTTGTTTAAACGCGTTTAGGGGGATTTTATAAAAAAAAAACAATTCATTTTGAAAGGGATGGTACACTCACAAAGAAAAGCTTTTAGCAAGTTATTTTTCACACAAGGACATATTTTTATTATTTATTACATTTACAATTTTGGGGTCAGTACATTTGTTTTTAATGTTTTTGAAGGACGTCTCGTGTGTTCACTAAGGCTGTATTTATACAGTAAAAAACGGTAATATTGCGAAATATTATGGTAAATGGACTGCATTTATATAGTGCTTTCAACAGACCCATGGCCACCAAAGCGCTTTACATTTTGCCTCACATTCCCCCATTCACTCACCCATTCATACACCGACGGCGGTGTCAGCCATGCAAGGCGCCATCCAGCTCGCCGAGAGCATCTGGGGTTAGGTGTCTTGCTCATGGACACCTCGACACTTGGTCAAGTGGAACCGGGGATTGTAGACAACCTACATGAACCACTGAGCCACTGCCGTCCCAGTTTATTACAGTTTAAAATATCTATTTTCTATTTGAATTAGGCTTGGGCGGTAATACGGTAATATCGTATACCGCGGGATCTAAAAATAGCAACGGTATTAGTTTCAATATCGTCATACCGTCATAAAAAAAAATCCAATGCACTTATATAGGAGACAAGGATTAAATATAATTTATTTAATGGCTAAAAATGCTTATGTGTGGTTGTCATCACGTGACAGTGTGGAGGAGAAAGAGTGGGGGAGAGAGGGGGAAAGATGACAAGTTGCGCACCGAGTAACCTGGTCTCGAAGAAGAACACGACTTCTGCAGTTTGGCAGGGATGGGCATTTCAAGCAAAAATAATATTTGAAGATCGCCTGGTATTATTTGATTATTATTCGAAAATCGCACCCCTCCACCATATGCACGCACACATGCATGTAGGCTACACAGCTATACAGCGGAGCGGTGTGACACTTAAATAGGCTATAAGTAAAAAAAAAAAAAAAAAAAAAAAAAAAAACGTATTTCTTTTCATATTTATGTTTAATAATATAATGTTGTTATTTTTTTTATTTCATCTATGTTGATTATATGAAAAGGAAACTGCATGAGATGAATAAGATAGGATCATAAGATGCCCAATATCGGAAAACATTTGGAATGGGTCAGACATGATTTTTGACCACTTATTACGTTTTGTTTTGTAGAAAGCCTTTCTTTAAAGTGAATTTCGTTTTGTATAAATTGTATCTTCATTTTAATCAATGTTTCATCAACGAATTGCCAGGATTAATAAATAAGAAGCATATATATTAGACAATATAAGCCAGCGCGTGAACTGGAGCGCGTCTCCTAAAAAAAAACGAAACTCAGCGTATAAGATAGAAATATCTGAGAAGTGTATATATATAGTATATATATAGTAAGCTTGAAATGTCTACTTTTAAACAAAACAATTAAAAACTAAAAGAAATGGCCTGCTCTCTGTAGGCTAATTCATATGAAGTGTGCATTTCTCTCGATGCGCGTTCACTACTGCGAAGATGCGAGTCTGCATCGTAAACTTTTATCTGTGCAGCCACTGACATAGAAAGTTTTTCATTAATAAACAATTCAAATGTTTCATGCATAATAATTACTTTTGCCGGTTCTTTGTGGGAAGCTTTATGCGTGCTTTGAGATGCAGAATAGGCAATATATTACGAAAACGCTCATTATGGTTTAGCATTCTCTCCTATATATATTTAAGTAATTTAATCAATATAAATATGTGATTAGACTAATGGCTTAAATCAACTACTACTAGTCAACTAGAAAAAAAAAACTTTAGTCGTGCACGGGCAGCCCAACTTCACATGTTTTCTAACCAGCATGTCACTGCGGGCATTCTGAGCGCGCGACGCTGAGTGGACTGAGCACGCGGCGCGTGATCTTCAGAAATGCGCTCTCTGCTCTGGAGGAAATATTACCACTCCGCTCACATGCTCTGGTGTGAGACAATGTGCATCTTCTCCTGTTGTCTGAGAGTTGATTGACAGCTTTTAGATGCATTATTGGCATCGCCACCCTCTGGTTGAACGTGTCACCACCGCATCAGAACGGAAAACATGGGGATTTTTTATAGACAATAATCCCACAACCTATTCCATATTCTATAATAAAATCAATTAATTGAATATTCGAAAATTGTGACTCATCCCTGCACAAACCAACAGTTTGGTGATGCCGTCTGAGCCTTATGTCATAATTTTTAATTAGTCACGCGGTAATACCATATACCATGGTAAAATAGGGAGGAGGTTTGACGGTATCAAAATTTGGATACCGCCCAAGCCTAATTTGAATATATTTCAAAATTTAATTCATTTCTGTGATGGCAAAGGTGAATTTTCATTCTAATATGCTGATTTGGTGCTCAAGTAAAAATATTATCAATGTTAAAAATGTATATTTATATATATATGTGTGTGTTAAAAATAAATATTAATGTTTGTTAAACTGTTAAACAGCTATTAACATTTTTTTTGTGGAAACTAATAATTTTTTTCTGGAATTATTTGTTTAAAAAAAGTTCAAAAGGACAGCATTTATTTGAAATAGAAATCTTTTGTAACAATGTTTCACTTTTGATCAATTTAAACCCCAGATTATATATGTGTATATATATATATATATATATATATATATATAATCTTAATATATCATTTCAATATATATATATTCTGTTGATAATGGCAGCAGTAATTCATCAAATACACCAACTTCGCTCAGTGAAAAGCACAACAATTATATCTCATTTCATTAAACACATTAATGCGAAATAAAGTGCATGATTTATCCTAAGAAAAGGTCAAATAATGGGAAAAATTGTATCCCAAAAAGTAAGATTTAAAAATGTTTTGGACTATCCCAATAAAGAATTGTCGACTGCATCTGGCAAAACCTAGCGCTCAGAACCACACAGCATGATGGGAAACTGCACCGTGCAAATTGCATTCATCCCTAATTTTCTTACCTGATTTGCAATGCATAATTCCTACTGAATCGCTAAAACAACACAGAGCGCGTGCAAGCGAAGTCCCTCCAGAATATCCAATGAACTGTTTCTTTAAGAGAAAATGCTAAGGTGGTCCTAGATCAGAAGAGCACACACACACACACAACACTGCTTTCGGCCCTGCTGTCCATTAACAGTTATGTGCGCGGGGCATCCGTGCCTGAGGCGGCAGTTTGACTCTCTTTGCCCTGTGTTTTTCCACAGCCTCGCCCCCAGACTTTTCCAGAAGCCCCCTCAGAGCTCTGCTTAAAGCCAAGACGGGCAGCACAGTCACCATGGAGTGCAGACCGCAGGCCTTTCCCACAGCAGCCAGCCTGTGGAGGAAAGGCAATGAACCGCTGCAGAGCACCGAGAGGTACGGATACAATCTTTCTCTCCCTTTTCTTGTCCTTAATTCCTCGTATCCCTTCCTCCCAACCATCTATTCATACAAGGCTTCACCCCAGGAGCCCTGCTATGTTCACACTATCTGTGCACAGGCTGCAACTTAACAGTTATCAAAAGGAAGCTGCATTGCCAATTGTGGTAGCTCACTGACCATAACACTCATGAATTATGAAGCAGGCCATTAGGCCTGGCCAGCAGGAGGTCGCTCGTCATTTTGGGTTTAGTCTGTCAAGGGTGAAATGAATCCTGGTAGGAGGCCACTTGAGGAAGCACAGCGGATCGCAAGCTTGGCTCTTTTTATAATGAAGTTGGATTAAATAGTATGGGGCGAATCCTGTCAAGGGTGGAGAACTGTTGTGGGAAAACAATAGATTTGCATTAAGCCACAGTTGTTTGTTTTGAGAGCGTTTGGTGAGACAGCCGCAGTCCAATTTAACTGTAAGCGCCTTGACGGGGAATTGTGCATTAGGACATTAACATTCCAGTACTGGGATACCAGCGTTTGCTCTCTGGTACTCCAGATGATGCATTGTGAATCGCTGTTGATATGTAGGGGAGACCAGGGGCAATTGTAAGATCTTTAAAATGTATAGCAGTGTGTGATATATGAAGAAAAAAAAAACAAGTGCCATCAGTAATAGTACCATTACATTTTTACATTGATAAAGATTTGAGCATTTTTTTAATATATATATACAATAAGTTACCATTACAGGGGTGATTGTAACATTAGAAAAATGCTGGAAAACTATATTTGCACTTATCATAGTAATATTTCATCAAAATAATATAATTGCCTTAGCATATATTAGCATTACTTATTAGTCGTCTTTTTTTTTCTTTTCTTTTTTGGTGTACATTGCTAATTCTTTTAGCTCTCAGGAATACTATTCACTATCATTCACAATTTTGAAGTCTGTACTTTTTTTTTAAAGAAGTTAATACTTTTCTTGAGCAAGGATGCAATGAATTCCTCAAAAGTGACAGGAAAGACTTTTACCTTGTTACATCAGATATATATTTCAAATAAATGCTGTTCTTTTGGACGTTCTTTTCATCAAAGAAAAAAACTGTATCACAGTTTCCACAAAAAAATTAAGCCGCACAACTGCTTTCAACATTGATAATAATAAGAAATGTTTCTTGAGCAGCAAATCAGCATCATAGAATGATTTCTGAAGGATCATGTGACACTGAAGACTGGAGGAATGATGCTGAAAATTCAGCTTTAACATCACAGGAATAAATTACATTTTAAAATGATTAAATTGTAGTAATATTTCACAATATTACTGTTTTAACTGTATATTTAATCAAATACACTTGTGCGTCAGGCAAAGCTCTAGATATACTGCACATCCCTAAAAAATATACCTTGAAATCATTGAAATATTAATGTCTAGATGTAAACTACAGTTGTTATATACAGTTATTGTAAAGGGTTAAAGTGTCACAGATGGCAGTTACAGGTAAATAGCAATTCAATAAAATTGAAAGCACTTCAAATGATAGGCACTTAACATGCACATGAGGACAATAAGGTTTGTGTTTTTTTTAGATTAAGAGTATGTTCAAACTGTAGAAATAGTCATGAAGGGTCTCAAGGTAATCTGATTCAAATAATGAGCCCGCTGTTATAGCTTGTCGGCTTTACGTTTGAATGTCTGTTTGGTGTGAGCGCACATTCTTCAGCTTCATCGGCTCTCGGGCAGCTGGATGCACAGAGACACGGAGAGTGTCCGATGTACAAAGATTTATGTGCCATTCAAAAGAAACGCATTATGTTCTTTTTAACACATTTCTACTGTTCCCGAAAGATAAAACACATTTGTACTCGGGAATGTAGCTCCATTATGAGTTAACCAAGTTTCAATTTGATTTGATAGGATTGTGGTTCTCTCCTTTAGGATAACTTTTCTCCCTGATGGAACACTTAGAATTACAAATGTGACCAAGATGGACGGGGGAAACTATGCATGCTTGGCTAGAAACCAGTTTGGTGCGGCCAGCACTACGGGAAGACTGCTGGTCACAGGTAAGGATTACTGTAACCGTGTTACGGTTTGGGCTTTATCCTTGCTTTTCCTGCAGATACAAGTCATTTTAGAGTGTCATTCAACTGTGGGAAGTGGTGATTTGTCTGCAAACTCTGGGGGCTTCAGGCAACTGTGTTCTTGGTACGGCTGGACAATTAATCAAAATCATGACAGTTTCTTAAAGGCATAGTTCCCCCAGGAATGGAAATTCTGTCATCATATACTCACCCTCTTGTTGTTGCAAATGTTTCTTCTGTGGAGCACAAAAGAAGATATTTGAGGTATGTCTTTTTGTCCATACACTGAATAGTCAATGGGATCCAACAGTTTGAAGCTCCAAAAAAGGAAATAAATGTAGCGTAAAAGTACATCATACAACTGTAGTCTTCTGAATGTATACACTAGCTGCGTATGAACACACATACTGTATAGTAGGTACTTCATTTGTTTTGACACTTGCTTCACAAATGTTAAAAACATGCATTCTAGTATAAATCGGCATAGAATGCAATTCAGACGTACTACATCCGCCAATATTATTGATCTGACTGTACTGACGCTGTTGCATGAGAACTGAACTGAGCTGGATGATGACATCATGTTTTGCAGAACTGCTTTAAAGATGAAATGAACTAATTGAATAATTGATGATCTTTACAATGGAACTGAATCAACACTGTACTGACTTCAGCTGTTATCACTGTAAAGCTGCTTTGAAACAGCCTGTATTGTATAAAGCGCTATATAAATAAAGGTGACTTGACTTGAATGTCATGTGACCTCCATCAGTTGCGTCGCTTCACTGACATTCACACCTCCTCTTATGGCCTCATGGGATAGTAAAGTGTCCTGTGAATACACACTTCAGAATCTCGCCGTAAGCAGTAGGTCATCCAGGTACTTTTTGCCTACTATTTTGAGTACTGTGAATTCAGACATACTGTTTGGCTTACATAATATTTTTCGCCTACCATACAGTATGGAAGTAGGCATATTCAGGTGCAGGGAATCGTTTAGTATGATGAACAGAGTGAAATTTAAGTTGTTAATTTCTTCCAAATCAAGTTTTTCTGTGAAGGCGTCAACATGTTCAGTCATGTTATTGAAGTGACACCATTTTTGATTTCGACTCTGTATACATTAATTGATCAATGATTTACTTGAAAACTTGGTCACACTTTAGTTTAGGGTCCAATTCTCACTATTAACTATTAACTATGACTTCTGCCTCAAACTCCTAATTGCTGCATATTAATTGGAAGAAAGGTAGTTAAAGCTGCAGTCCGTAGTTTTTCCTCTTTGTCGCCATCTCCGCCATCTGCCATTGCAGTCATTTGCGGAATTATCAACTTTACGTGGGTTGTGCCTCGGCACGGCACGGCGCGGATTAATCCAATGTTTTGGGGAGAATGTGCGGCTGTCAGTCGCCACGCCGGTGTGGATCCTGTCATTCAGAATCACAGATTATACTTTTTGGAAGTATGACGAACATAAGAATTTTCAGAAAATGTCATCTGGGGGATTAAGGGGGGAAAAGCATTGCAGTAAATCGCGCTGATTAAATCTAATGATCGCTTATCATATCACGTCAAACCGTGCAAATGATACTTTGTTCTCAAATTGTTAATGTTAACAACATCAGCATTGTGTGACTATATTTAATGTGTATTAGGGCTACCTGTAGTCCAGTTTCCATTTCTGTCTAATTTCTAATTGTCATACCAACAAATTAATGTTCCTTAGAACTGGTTCTCTTTGAAATACAAACATGCATATCTGTAATCAGATGCATATTTAAAACTGGAATCTAATACAATTTTTACCTTTCAAAAGCCCTTCCAATATGTAGCCCGGTTGCAGTGTCTTTTTCTGTAGCCACTCCGAAGTCCGAAGTCTTTTGCATTTTACAACGGGTGGATCTCTAGTTGTTTTGGGGTATATTTGGAACATATATTGTTATATTTTTAAATTGACAACTCATCAATTAAATATTAACCATCGTATATTCTGCATAATTGGACGTTTTCAAATAAACACTGACAAAAAATCACCCGGATTTAGACATATTGTATTTATATAAAGCGTTCACAGGCAAATTAGCTTTGTTTTCCCCGGCGTGGAAATCAGGCACATATAAATGTCAGGAAACAGGATTCCTGGCTGCATGTCAATATCTATGGATCACTCGATCTTTGGTAAGTTGTAAGGAACACTATATTGAGTCCAACCTCAGTTTAACTGATAAAAGTGGTTGTTCTACTTGCGTATTCGCAGTTTCCCCTATTTTTCCAGTCATGCAGCAGCTCTTTTGCCACTCAGTCCAGCTAAGGGGGGCGTTTTCCAGCGGGAAAAAAAGTGACGTCAATGCATTACCTCTAGTGAGAATTGGACCCTAAAGGAAAGTAATAGCAAAACTTTAAACCACTACAGTTTAATGAATTACTTTTACACTAACTTTGTGTCCTTTTTGTAGCTTGAATCTGTTGGACCCCATTGACTTGCATTGTATGAACAAAATCATTCGACAGAATAAAGAAAATAATACGAGTTTGGGACAACATGAGGGTAAATGAGGAATGAATTTAAATTTTTTTGGTGAACTATCCTATCCTATCTTAACCTGGCAGTTACGCCAGAACAACAAATAGATTCAGCTGAAAGAGTAAATACAAAGGTGTTCTGCACAGAAGGACTTCTGTTTCATGTAGTTTGTTCTGTTTTATACTGTATAATGCATTCTGACAGAAAAGTTGTTTGCTTTCTGGGGCTTACATGCTCCTCTAGTATAACGCGATGGGTTGAGCGGTTCAGCTCTCCAACTGGCAGGGTTTTTTTTCTTCTCAGCTCAACTCAACAGGGATGGGATACAGTGGCTTTTTTTTGTGTGTTGTTATAATTACCCATTTTTACGCTCCGCTTATGGCATTGCAATTACCCTGGATTACACTAATGGACTGTGTGAGGGTGTAGGTTATAGGTTGAGCGTGCACAATTTAGAGAGAAAAATATAGAACGCTGCATTTGCACTCTGGGTTTTACTGAGATTACTACAGTACATCACCGTATTTTACAGCTAACTCCGCCCCAGCAGATTTGAATATGAATCTGAAAGGAAGCAATTGGGCAAATGTAAAAACATTGATGTAGTTAAAAGGGTTATATCAATTAAATAGAAATAGTTTTTTCCTTGATTGTTTGAAATGAGAGTTCATCACGCTATTTAAACGTTTTAATTTACAGAACAGAAAAATTCCCTCCCCAAATTGCTCCCCTCCTCTACAGTGAGAATGCCCCTCCCCTTCATGTCACCTGCAACTGACTAGCAAGTTGTAGACATAACTAAACCCCATTTTTTTAAAGGACAATCTCTTCTATATGTTCCGCCAAAAAAAAAAAAAAAAAAAAAAACTTGCTATGGAAGCTTGTTTTCACCACAGAATAAAAAATAAAAAAGCTAATTGCGACTTTTTATCTCGCAATTCTGACTTTTTATCTCAGAATTGTGTGATATAGTCACAATTGCGATAAATAAACTGTTTATATGTTTATATCTCGCAATTCTGACTTTATAACACGCATTTGGGAGATATAAAGTCAGAATTGCATGATGTAAAGTCGCAATTGCGTATTATAAAATCAGAATTGCGAGATAAAAAGTCGCAATTATCTTTTAAAATGTTTTATTTTGAGACAGAAACAAGCTTCCATACAAATCGATACTACAATCATAACAGTAATTCTGTTTTATTTTAATGGTTTATATTTTTTTATAAATAAAAGAGTGTGTTTAGTTATCTTTTAGCTTCTGCCGTGAGAGTGAAGAGTCTTTTCTCTAAAATAATAGATAAAGCCTTATCATCCTACCAAGTGGGTGGAAGTAAAAATCCCATTCATTTTCTCCATAGAGAAATGGGTTTTTAGCGATATTGTATAAACCTTTCAAGACAGACCTACTTTGAGCTCCACGGTTGTTAATGTGCTTCTACAGAAGTCCATCGCAATGATTCATCATGGGATTAGTAGATCATTCATGTATACAAACACTGTCTCTTACCTTTGTCTGTTTCGCATTTTGTTGTGATTGGTTGGTTTGGTTCCAGGCTCAGAACTCTTGTGCATAGAGCAATATCAGGTTTTACAACAATGTTTTCCTTATGAGATCAGGTTGAAAAAAATACCCTTTTAATTTTGTGGATAAGCAAGAGAATTTATGTATTTATTATTCATTTAATATTCATTGAATCAACCTTATGACTGGCAATTGAGTAAAGCTGAGTGTGATTTTTGAGCAGATCCCACACAAATCACCCAGGGTCCAGTGGACATGGAGATCATCGTCGGGGAGAGCATTGTACTGCCCTGCCAGATCTCCTGTGACCCTGCTCTGGATGTTTCATTCTCCTGGGCCTTCAATGGGCAGCTCCTCAATAAACTGGACCAGCATTATGAGCATGTGGGAGGGGTAAGTCATATTTTATTAGATATCTTCTCTGTCCATATTCTGTTCTGTCTACTGTTGTGTCATAAAACTGGAGAAAGATTTTCCACATATATCAAGCATTTCAACCTCACCAAACAGTCTCTTAAAGGTGCACTCAGTAAGTTTTTTTTGGTTTATGTTGCTGTTTTTGTTTATGGCAGTTGTCTTGAACTAATTTTAATTCAAAGTCAGCATGAAGTGGAAGTTGTTTTCTTCCCTCTTGTTACATATATCCAAGTGAAACGGCTTCTCAAACAAGAAAAATATAGGGCGGGACTTGATTTTGTCTATTGGAATTGATTGGATGGTTGTGCTTTGCTATTGGTCGATCTCATGTGAGTGACAGGTTGTCACGCCCTTGTGCCAGTAAACACGTCATCAGAGAAGACGTCACTGCAAGAGGGAGGGGAAGTTAATTTGATCAAAGTTTACGAGGGCACATTAATAAAAAAATCGTTTTGAATTAATACTGCAATATTCCATAAAAACAAGAATTGTCAATTTTGCTTTCATGGTGACATTAATTAAATTCAATTGGGAAAAAAAACTAGTTTGGATGCTCAAATGAATGTCTGATTCATACTCAATGTAAATTCACATTATTTTAAATAGATTTACCAAAAGTAATATCAATTTCTTTGTGTAAAACCTTTCTAATGAGATCAAAAATACTGAGTGCACCTTTAATGTCATGGTACCGTATACTAACTCTTACAACAAATTCATTTATTTTTATACTCTAATATCTGATTCTAAACAGATGCATCCAGTAGTTTACTGTGCAATACTTCCATTGAGCTATGAGCCAGACCGACTGTTAAAACGTGGAAGACTTCAGGAATCAATTTATCACTTTCCTTTCGAGTTTTTAGCTGTTGCTTCCACTGCTTAGCAGCCCACTATGTTGACTTAGAACTTCGTTTCCCTCCTCTTCACAGAATAAAAATCAATCCATCAAAGTTATGCCTTCAAGGATCTCAAGTGTAATATCCTCATAAGGCTTTTGAATGGTCAGATCTCAGATTGCTTTTCTCTGGGATGTAATGACGTCTTTCTGGAAATAGTAATGACTGAGAGAATGCCCTAATGAGGACTCACTGGTCAATATTGGATGTGCATGACTCAACTGAGCAATCCTTAAACAGATTCATTAATCACCACCCCCAAAGCCATCAAAAAGATGATTTCTTGCATAGTTTAAGGATCTAAATGAGTTTGTTTTCTGCATTGTGGAAGCAATGTTAAAATAAAATTATGTTTGACTATTATACAATTATGATAACTTCATGATAAATCTGAACATGTTAAGAAAATGTGGGGGGTTTCGACATTTGGACACGCACATACTGTAGGAAACGCGCTCATCTTCATTTAAGCCGGTGATTCTTTCTTGGTAATTATATTCCGGTTCTTATGAATTCTCCGATGCCACCCGTCTTGTAGGATTATCAGCATGAAGTTCACAGCTTGGATGAACTCATTTCCATAATGAAACTAAATTTGTAGCCTAATGTCCTTACTGCTGAAATTGCAGATTTACCTCTTGTTTGCCAACCACAATCTCACCCTTAGATAAGAGCGCACATCTCATCTCATGTAATTTAACTGATTTGAAATCTAAGCGCCTTTTATTAAATTAGTGAAGTTGTCCGTGCCGAAGACTTCACAGACAATATCAACATCCGAGCGAATCAGCGTCTATGAATATCAATAAAGAATCCATTCTATTCAAATGAAGATTTTTGACAGATGGGGAAATAAAGTAGGTATTAACCCTTAAATGCATGAGTGTTTCTGCCAATCATTATTACATATTTGGTGAATCTTTTTTTTTTTTTTTTGAAATAGAAATAGAAGCACCTAACCTTTGTAGTAAGCCTAAACTTGGCATGAACTTAAACTTGTCCTTCATATCTTCATATATTCCAGTTCACTGGTAATTATAAGTTAAACGTCACGTCATCATTGTGTATCAGACATAAAGGTGAATTGCACTTATTGATTTATTAGAGATTCAATGATTGTTGCGTAGACAAATTATACTTACACTATTACATACCTCGGGTCGCTAGCGACCCTAGACACGTTTTACACAAAAAAAATGAATGATGTAGATGATGCCCCGTGTGTCTAAAGACCCGAGGTATGCGTTAAGGGTAAAATGTACCCACTGATAGTGCTGTTTATTTGAATAAAAGTTAGTTTATCGGAAAGTACTTTACAGTAATTAAGGTGTTTATTTTGATTGTAACTACTAGTAGTAGTAGTAGTATACTTTATTGTCCTCGAAAGGACATTTGTTGTGGACTGCATGTTGCTGCATGGACATATTAAAGACAGTATAACTATAATGTATGAGAATTCTGATGCTCTTTTTACTTGATATTTACATGTATCATCATGATTATATATCATTATTACTTTAAAAGTAGTAAATCAAGGGAATAGATGAAGTACAGGTAAAGTTCACCTCCACTCTTATGAACAACTTTCTTTATCTTTATTAGATTAACAAAGGCATTTAATTGTCGTGTGTGGATTTAGTATTCATCACTTGCACAGTTTCGTATCACAGGGTTTCGGCACACTGAATCCAATCACACTACCTCTTAAATGTGATTAAGCTCTAATTAGCCAATTAGCGAGTGAGTTTGGTAGCTGGGTTCTGCGCGGTGCCGAAGGAGCCTAAGGGTTGGCCAGAGGGAATGTTTATCCATGACGGACATTTCAAATGTAGCAGCGAACAGGCTTTGCCAAAAGTCATCCATTAGCTGTGGAGTTGGGCCACATTTTCATTCCCAAACCCAGCAGGGTGTCTACACTTACTGAATCACTTGCTGGGGAATATAGAAAACAACTCACACATCTTCCCGTCGCTTTAAAGTCTCTTCTGATAGAGTGGATAGTAATGCGTATGTGTGTGTTGTTTATATCTCTAGAGTACATCTGGAGATTTGATGATACGGAATATACAGCTGAAACACGCCGGAAAGTACGTCTGCGTGGTCGACACGGATGTCGAGAGTTTATCGGCTGCGGCTATTTTAATCGTGAAAGGTAAGAGAACGACGGTCGGGTATTTTTGGAGCTTTAAATGTAGGGTTGGGAATTGGAAGGAAAATCTGATAGAAAGACAAAAATGCTGTCCTTGCTTTGCCATGGAAATGTATCTGTCTGTTGAATTGATCCGTTATTACACGTTACATTAGATGTAATTAGAGGAACATATCAAAGCTGTTGATCAAAGGTCACAAATGAGTTTTAGCCGGATCAATAACTTTCAATTGAAATTAGATTGGCATGCCAGCTTTTACTGCCAGAGCCTATAATAATGCTTTATAACAGCATCACATGGTGTAAAAGTAACAATCGCTGCAAGCACAAAACGCAAGTAAAAACTGGCTGTAGTGTGCAAATAAAACCAGTTGGTTTAAATCAGTGGTCCACTAGGGCCTCACTTAAAATGATTTCAATTATGACAAGAATTAATATCAGCTAAAACAACTAAACCTCAAGATATATCCCATTTTAATTAACCCCCTCAACAACTGTTTTTTTGGGGGGGGGGGTTTTGCCAAATTATAAACGTGTGATTTCTATATATGGAAAAGTTCTGTAAATTCATATAATCACAAAACTCCATTGGAATATAAAAGCACTGGATATACATTTTTCTAGTTATGACGAGCTCTAAAATACTAGAATAAAATCAAAAGAAATTGTGAGTTTTCTTTAAAATCACTAACCCTAATCTTTATCCAGTAAATCATGAACAACTGGAAAAGTCATTGGTTCTGAAACTTCTGAAATTCTGCTGCTAAATTACAGAAACTAGGAGTGACTGGCTTTCGAACATTGTTATGGACAATGGAGGGCCTTGTTGCCAAAAGCTTGAGATTCACAGAAGAAAAAATGTATTATGTGACTTCATGTTTTTGTGACGGTGCTTTTTAAGTGAGAAACAAAGACCGTCTGATCTCGTAAGTGATGCTACGAGTGACCCGCGCTGACAAAACCACAAAAGATTATGCTTCACTTCTTTATATTTCCCCCCAAACGTGTGCGAATTTGACAAAGCAAGGCAGCTCTCTGCACATTTTAATTGGAAGAACCAATTAAAGATGTGCAGAGAGAAATGTCTGCTTGCAGACGTGTTGTAGCTGTTAAGAAAACAGCTCCAAGCGCTCAAGCCTCTGAAAAGCTTCACTGTGGTTCTCGAAGAGATCTAGTGTTCCCACAAAAGCAACAGCTTAAAATGTAATAACACCTTTTAGAGACTGGCCTTGTATCACAGAGCTTTAGTGAGGCTTCCTGGCAGGGGGGCGAGTAAGGTTAGATGTCAGTGAAGGTAACTTCATTTCTAATTGCTAATTCACTGCTAATTGTCTGATTGAATCAGGTCCCCCAGGAGCTCCAGATGGTGTAACAGTGGAGGAGATCACGGACAGCACGGCTCAGCTTTCTTGGAGACCCGGCCAGGATAATGGCAGCCCCATCACAAGCTATATCATCCAGGCCAAGACAGCTTTCACAGTGGGCTGGCAAGCGGTGAACACGGGTAACAATACAGGATTAGCTAAAGCTAGTCATGTGGAGCATCAATTCAGCGAGAGGCTGAAATTACCATAGCACGTCTCATATGCTTTTTTAGAAAGAAGCTAATGCTCGCTTTGAGTACATATAAGGGCCTTTAAGTATTAACGCAAAACGACTTAATCTGCTCTCTTGCCCTGCTGCTCGAATTCCAATTCATTGGAACAACATCCCACCCAGAAAGAGACATGGAGCAGAACACGTTTTTTATGTTTCTTGACATTTCTGGCTTACTGTAAACATTGGCTCAAAATTAGGCTGCTGTTGTTGACTTTTCGGCGCTGTGTAATCCAGGTCTTTACGGTTAAACCAAGGCTTTTCTGTTTGCTCTCAGTCCCGGAGGTGATTGATGGCAACACCTTGACGGCAACGGTGGTGGATCTGAACGCATGGGTGGAGTATGAGTTCAGAGTGCTGGCCAGAAACAGCGTTGGCGTGGGGGAACCGAGTCCCGCATCTCTTAAAACAAGAACTGAAGATGCAGGTGAATCACCAACAGTGTTCATTTATACACATTTTTATTTTGATGGTCCACTTTAGATATTCTACTAACTATATGTAACTTTGCAACTACATGTCAACTTCCCGAATCCTAAACCCTAACCCTAATTACACTACATCCTATACAATATTTTATCCATGATAACAGATGAATGCAAAGGCATCATAATCACTGGATTCCTAACATGCCATTCTGCTCTTTACAGTGATAGTTTGTAAATTATTTGTATCTAACTTACTCAATGATTAGTAACGGTACTACTAATACTAGTAGTATTAGTAGACTGTTAGGTTAGGGCTTAGGGTTCGGGTTTGTAGAATAAGTTGTACGGTAGTTGCAAAGTTACTTACAGTCTGTATAATGTCTGTTGGGGGAACCAACACAATAAAGAGTTAGAAGATATTAAGCAGACAGTCTACTATAGAGAGTTAGTTGACATGTAGTTGCAAAGTTACTTACAGTCTGTATAATGTCTGTTGGGGGAACCAACACAATAAAGAGTTAGAAGATATTAAGCAGACAGTCTACTATAGAGAGTTAGTTGACATGTAGTTGCAAAGTTACTTGTAGTTAGAACAAAATGGACTATCGAAATAAAGTGTTGCCCTTTTTTTATTAAAGTCATATCAGAAAATAACTTTTTAAAATTGTGTTTTCGTCATGTCGTTCATGTCATTCATTTATTTTAGGCAAAATAATAGCAACTTTTCTACTAAAATAACATTGTAATGAGTGAACTATGATTGTAATACAGTGTTGTGAATTCTTTATGGTTTAGTTATTTGTTGTCTGTTTTAGTTCATTGTTACAGAAATGGTGTATTCACAACATGACATACATATTCTCACTAGCATGTAACTGCATTCAAATTATTATGGCAGATACAGAGTGTAACGTTGTTTTTAGTTTGGGGTTGGTAAGATTGTTTAAGATTTATAAAATATTGTAGAATAGGTTTACTTTATTGCAAATATTTAAAATAACTGTTTTCTAATATAATCTAAATTGTAATTTATTCCTGTGATCAAAGCTAAATTTTCAGCATCATTACTCCAGTCTTCAGTGTCACATGATCCTTCAGAAATCATTCAGATATGATGATTTGATGCGCAAGAAACATTTCTGATTATTAGAAGTGTTGAAAATGGTTGTGTTGCTTAATATTTTGTGGAAACCATAATCATCAGGATACTTTGATTAAAACTTTTGTTAACTCACTTTTTTATTAGTAAATTCGTTGAACCGATAAACCAAGTGGTCAGAAGCAAACTAGAAGCAAAATCATCATGAAATCAAAATTGACAATTCACACACACAACTGACAGAATCACTCTAAGTATTCTTGATTTGATTTAATGCCACTAAGATGGCAAACTTTGGCAAGTCCAGTGATACATTTCATCCTCAAAATGTATAAATTCACCGTCAGATTAGTCAGCCAATCAGAACAGAGCTTGCCAGATCGAGAAAGCGCAATCCAGTTTTGTGTGAAGCATGGGCCGTGGGTGTGCTGTCTGACGTTGAATCCACCAATGTTTAAGTGCCCGTATTCTTCAAATGACCATTCCTCAAGTGCCTCTTTGTATAATATAGAATGAATTCTTCGAGCATTATTGTTGAGAGACTCTTGGCAAATGGTGAAATTGACTAGAAACAAAGCCCGTTAACTCAGACGCTGCCCACAGAATCTTTTAAAAGCAGTTGCTAAGGGACCGGAGCTCTGTTTCGTTTGATACTTGATAATGAGGCTTTGAGTAAAATGAAAAAGAAAAGAAACAATGAGGAAGGCTGCACTGAATCTGCTGTTCTGAAAACATGGCGGTTTTCTCTTTATTTCCCCGTACGCAGTTCCTGACACGGCCCCCACCGATGTCGGAGGTGGGGGTGGCTCCAAGTCAGAGTTGGTAATAACATGGGAGGTAAGTCATCTGTCTATATTATCACTCCCTCTGTGCGAGGTAATAGTTTTGGCTAATTAAATGGAATTGAATGGGGGTGTTTATTACCTCAGTCAAAGCCAAGCCTGTTTTCCATCTGGGCCCTTTACTCCCGTAATGGCATTCAATTCAGATTTGGTTGTATATTAGAAAGCGGTTCATTTGCGCTCTCGAGAGGTTGCATCGCTTTGTGGGATTGGGAAAGGCACTGGGTGTGAACCTGAGGCCGAATCTGGTCTGTATGTTTTAATATCACTATAGTTTTTTGTTTCCCTCCCAGCCTGTGCCTGAAGACCTACAAAACGGAGATGGTTTCGGCTACATCATCGCTTTCCGGCCGCTGGGAGAGGTCAACTGGACACAGGCCGTCACCTCCGTACCGGCTCAGTCCCGTTACGTGTGCCGAAACGAGAGCATCCTGCCCTTTTCTCCATTTAGTGTCAAAGTGGGCGCCTACAACACCAAAGGCCAGGGACCGTTCAGCCCCGTTACCATTGTGTTCTCAGCCGAGAACGGTGAGACTTTCAGTCGTACAAATGCTCACCTTCTCAGTCATTTCCTTTGCTGTGTTCCTGTATTTGCCTGGCTTTTGGAAGGTGCATAACACTTTCAAAGAACAGGAGCTGGAATTGATTATTTCACCACCAGCACTATGTTATGGGCAGTGCTGAAAGAACATAGCATTTTGCAACAAATGGTCAACAAATGGTTTCTCCAACACGATTGGTGGCAATTTTCTGTTCTTTTAGCAATAATTTATCATTTTTTAACAGGAAGTGTATTTGGTATTTAGCTATAAATGTCCAATGTGCAATTTTCGTTTTGCAGTAACTTCAAAGTAAAGCATGTACATAATGTTGTGTTGTAAATGTCAGGTGGTTTTAGCTCTGAAAGCTCTGAGTATCTCGCTCAGCATTTGAAGCACCACTGCTGGAATCTTTCATCTGGTTAGGATCCGTTTGAGATGACGGGAAGACAGTGGTGTGTGTCAGGAAGCTACAGCGTTAATTGAATTCCCGTTCAGATAATATTCCTTTATGTCACTCTTCTATCCTGTTAAAATAAAGACCAGTCATTTACCATTTTAGAGGCAAAAGATTTAGCATCAGGCATTTACAAATGATTTTCATTAGCCTGAGATTTGTGCTTCTCCTCATCTAGTCTTGTCTCTTCTCTCCTCCTCCTCTTTCAGTCTCCTTTCATTCCTTCTCTTCTAGTCTTGTTGTTTTGGCTTCTCTCCTTTTGTTGTACCCTAGTTCTTCTCTTCTCATCTCCTCTCTTCCCTTCTCTTGATCTTTGGGTTTCACCTCATCTCTTTCAGTTTTGTCTTGTTTACATCTCTCTTCGTTGCATCCTCTTCTCTATTCTTTCAGTCTCATTTCATATCATCTTTTCTTTTTACTGTCCTGTTTCGGCTTCACTCCTTGTTGCATCCTAGTTCTTCTCTTTTCGTCTCCTCTATTCTCTTCCCTTCTCTCGTTTCTTCTTTGCTCTTTTTAGCGTTTTTAGAGTTTTGTCTCATTTCCATCTCTCTTCGTTGTGTCCACTTCCCTTTTCTTTTTGTCTCTTCCTGTCTCATTTCATCGTGTCTCATTTTCTTTTCTCATCACTTTTAGTCTCATCTCGGCTTCTCTCCTTGTTCCATCGTAGTTATCCCCGCCTCCTTTAGTCTCTTCACTCCTCTTGAGCTCATCATGTCTTCTGTCCTTTTATGTCATCTCACCTCTCTCAGTTTTGTCTCATTTACATTGTCTTCTCTTTTTGTTGCATCCTCTTCTCTTCTTGTCTCCTTTCTTTCAAGCTTGTGTCATTTTGGACTGCTCTCCTCATCGCATCGTGCTTCATCTTGGTTTTTTTTCAGTCTTATATATCGGTTTCGCTTCTCTTTTTTTCTCTTCTGTCCCGTTTTGGTTGTTTCTCATCTCGTCTCCTGTTGGTTTATCTCTCTTCTCTTTTAGTTTTGTCTCATTTATTTCTCTCTTAATTGTATCCTGTTCTCTTTTCTTCTTGTCTTTTCTCATTTTGGTCTTCTCCCCTCGTAGTCTTATCCATAGTTATCTCTACTCTCCTGTCTCTTTTCTTTTAATCTTGTCTCGTTTTCTCTTCTCTCGATTTATCACATCTCTTGTCTTCGTTTTTGTCTTGTTTACATCTCTCTTCATTGAATCCTCCACTCTTTTATTTTAGTCTCTTCTCTTTCTGTCTTGTTTCATCTTCTCATTTGTCATCCTCTTCTCTTCTGTCTTTATGTATTCATCTTTTTCTCTTTTTCTCTTTCCCCGCAGAGCCCAGTGGCGTTCCAGACGGCGTGTGGGCCAGAAGCATTTCTGCCACTGAAATTGAAGTGAACTGGCACATTCTCAGCACTTCCCCAGAAAGAGTGTTGGGCTATGAGGTGCGTCCCTTCTTCTAAATGGAAATGACTCTCTGTCCGGTTTTGAAATGCACCGTGGGTTCTGTCAGAGCCTGTCATCTCCCACGCTGCACCTCAAAGTTCCCTCTGTACCCATGGAAACGCTCCATTTGGAAATAAGAATAGGGCACCCTGTTCTTACCGTATGCATGGGGGGGCCCTCTCTGCGGCATGGGCGAAATGGCTTTTCTTCATCTTTTTAAGGGCAGAGAACACATTACACATTCCTCTCTGAAACTCTTCATCCATGTCACCCCAAACCCAATGTGTGGAGAGGAAAAAAGTGAAATACTCCTGTATAATGATTCTCATGCACTGAACATAATGGCGCCGTAGCATTATATCCTTGAGTCTTTACATCCCACAGTCTGTGCTTTCTCTCCGTTGCTCTTGAAATCAGGTGGTGTACTGGGAGGATGATACAAAACCAGAGACCATGGGCAAAGTCAGAGTGTCTGCCAATCAGAACAAGGTTAACATCAGTAGTCTGAGAGGATACACTCAGTATTTCCTGACAGTGAGCGCTTTCAACACGGCGGGCACTGGCCCTCTTTCTCCTACTATCAATGTGACCACCAAGAAGTCCCGTGAGTATACGCTTGTTCAATTTGACCGTTCATTTAGGCCTCTTCTGCGGATTTATCCAAATTAGTAATGTGGCATTTTCTACAATTGTAGAAGTATTGTAAATGTAAAGCTGTCCATTTTATTGTTTAAACAAGATAAAAAAATCTGTCTTTTGACACATTACTGTTCAAAAGTTTGGGGTCAGTACTTTAAAAAAACAAAATTAGTCTCATCCTCACTAAGGCTGCATTTATTTGATCAAAAATACAATAAAAACAATAATATTCTGAAATATGTTTTCTGTTTTAATATATATTCAAATTGAATTGATCAAACCTGAATTTTCGGCATCTTTACTCCAGTCTTCAGTGTCACATGATCCTTCAGAAATCATTCTAATATGCTGATTTGATGCTCAAGAATCAATCATTTTGCTGCTTAATATTTTTGTGGAAACTGTGATGTATTTTTTCAGGATTTCTTGATGAATAAAAAAGCTCAAAAGAACAGCATTTATTTGAAATTAAAAAAAATTGTTACATTATAAATGCCTTTCTCACTTTTGAACAATTTAATGATTCCTTGCTGAATAAAAGTATTCATTTCTTTCAAAACATTATTCTCACAATTTTGAACGGTAGTCTATATATTTAAAGGATTAATGGTTATAACATTCTGTCATCATTCACTCGCCCTTTTCACTCAAACCTTCTTTTTTTTTATGGAAAACAAAAATAGACATTTAAACAAATGTTTTTCGTTTTATGTTTCACAAAGTTTGAAATGACAGAATTTTCATTTGTAGTTGAACTTTCTGTTGAAGTATAATACATAATGAACAAACAGACAGCCAGGCGCCTCTCTTTCTCTCTTTCTCAGTGATGTTGTCACACGTGCACAGTAACTAATGGCTGTGTTTCCCCTCAGCACCCGGGCAGCCACCTTTGAACGTGGAGTGGAACCTGATTGGCTCGAAGCTCACTGTTCATTGGGAGCCTGTCATTTCTCTGGAGATGGAGTCAGATGTTACTGGGTATCAGGTAAGTGCTTCCCAGCAATGTAAACCTCAAAGCCAAACTGTAAGGCATTATTTTCACATAATCCTATTAGCTTGTTCTATTCCAGTGAGCATTTAGGAAACAACTACATTAAAGTGCTTCTATTATTTCTCTTGTTGGACCATTACCCACCTTTGTGGTAACGGAAATTAAAAATAAAACTAATTTCGAACGCAGATCTACAGCATATATGCTAGCGAAAACACCAGGTGTGCTAATAAACACTGCGGTTCCCCACAGTGTATGATAATGTGATTTTACTTCCTTTATCGGCTAAAATAGCTTGTGCTGAATAAATCTTAGAGGTTGTTAGCACGTCTCTCATTTGGTCTCTCCAGGTGACTTACAGAAGAAACCGGCATAAAGAAATGAACTCAATAACAACAAATCTGACCTCAGTGGAGCTCACCCTACCTGCAGATGACGATTACATCATTCAGATACGAGCGCTGAGCGACGGCGGGGAAGGCATGCCAACCGAACCCATCAACATACATAAACTTAGTAAGATCACGCTGTTTTTCTATAATCTCATCAATTCGATACATTTGAGTATGGGGGTTTTCTGAAATGAGGGGTCATTTTAATGTATTTATGTGTTTTGTTTTGTTTTTGTAGTCCTATGTACACTACTTTTCAAAAGTGTTGGGGTCTATATAGTTTTTTTGTTTAGTTTTTTCAAAGAACTTTATTATTTTATTCAATAAGGACGCATTTAATTTATCGAAAATTACATTTATATTGTCACAAAAATCTGTTTCATATAAATGCTGTTCTTTTTAACTTTCTATTCATCAAAGTATTGTGAAAAGAAATGTATCACAGTTTCCACAAACTTATTAAGTAACTGTTTAAAAGATTGATTGTAATGGTTACCTAAACAGCAAATCAGCATATGAGAATGATTCCTGAAGAATAAAATTACATTTTAAAAAATATATTAAAATAGAAAACAGCTATTTTAAATTCTAATAATATTTTACAATATTACTGTTTTTACTGTATTTTTGATAAATAAATGCAGCCTTGTCGAGTATAAGACTTATTTTTCAAAATATATAAAAGCTCAAAGTTTTGAACAGTAGTGCAAATGAATGTTTCAGTTCTATTTAGACAGTTTCCGGGTTAAAGGAAATGGCATATGGCATGTAAACACCGTCTTTTCACCATCCAATCAATTCTCAATGGATCAAATTAAGTCCCCCCTACATTTTTTCTACACAGTTTCACTCTGAAAGTTTAACCTATCTAAAAACTGACTCGCAGATCGTTCTGAATCAGATGTGAACAAAACTTGTGGCTGAATAGTTTACTCTATGTATTCTTGTTGACGTTATGAACATGATACGGGGGCATTAGAGCACTGTGACTTTGCCAAGACATGTTCCTGAATTTTCTATTTTGTTGATCCTGGATTAACATTCCTGTACAAAAATTTAGTCCTAACCCTATCCATATTCCTTAACCTAGCCCTAAAATCAGAGGGAAATGAGACGTGAATAACACTGATGTAGAAGCAGCTAACCCTGTTTGTAAGCCTAAACTTGACATCAACTGTAAACTTGTCCCTCACACCTGATTGGTTGTTCTTGGTGAAATGGCGTTCACCCTCCCTCACATTCACGGTTTAGGACTTCTATGAAAATGCAACAAGCTCAAGGGAGGAAAAAAAAAAACCTGCCTTCCTGATGTCCCTGTTGGACAGTGTTACTTTGGAAAAATTTGTGATTTATGAATTCGATTGTATCAGTTGTTTATATTTCGGCTCATTTATTTCACGTCTGCATCCTCACACAATATTACATTTGCGTGCATGAGTTAAACCTGCAGGCGTGTGCAAAGCACATTCACTGCCCTCCGCTTTTCAAGGCCCATGATGTAAAAGATAAATATCCAATGCCAAAGGGATATTAAACACACAGGCCCCTATAAAATAAACAATGCACAGTTGACCTCATAATGTTCTCGTCCTGTTCCCCCGAGTGAACAGCGCAGGTGCAGTTTGCAGCGTAGACGTTCTGTTACGGCAGCCCACAGAGTTTAATGCGCATCTCCTAAATGAGTTCTCACTGATTTGATGTGTCCTCCTCGTACACCTTTTATTCTCCACTGGGCTAAGCAGTCTGATCTTTATTAACTAGCCCAAGCTCTCGCCATCTATCTTGTCCCGCTCGTCTCCGTTCCCCCATGGATATAACGTCACAGGCTGATGCAACTGCAAGGGGCGACTCTTCTCTGTGGCTTATTGTTCACATTTTTCATTTAATGGCCTGCAATGCCTCGCTTTCACGAAAAAGCCCTGGCTTTTACGGTTGTTAATGTTGGAAATGATTAGCTGTGCCAATAGCAAGGTTTTCCAACCTGCTTTAGCATTAATTAGTTAGTCATTTAAAACAGGAAAAACTGCTCAGTGAGCGTCTACTGTAAGTCGATGTAATTTACTCAGAGCACAAGACTGTCCACCACCAGATTTAAAGCTAAACACTGATAAAACTATCATTTCATCCTTCAATTCCCAACGACCTTTTTTCCTCACATGTGCTCTAAGTTGAAAAATGTAAACTTTAGGGGCGCAATGAAACTTAATATCTTAAATGACTTTTTTTCCTTAATAAAGGGATACAAGGACACATTTACAAGAATCAAAAATAAAAATACTGTCATTTACTCACTCTCAACTTTTTTTCACTTCTGCAATAATGTGCTGAGTGTCTTCTTTAAAAAGAGACCAACCTTAGGTCTGGAAAGCATTTATGAATTACAACCTTTTAAGTTCAGATCTAAGCTGAAAATGTGGGCGGGGGGTTGACAGTTGACAGCTTAAATATTTCTGCTTCAAGCTGTATTTGATGTCATTATTTAAAGGGATAGTTCACTTTGGAATTAATTTTTGGTATGTTTTAGCTTACCTCCAGTGCATCCAAGATGTAGGTGTCTTTGTTTCCGCAGAAGTTTCAATTTTGATATTTTTAGGTCAAACCGTTCTTGTCTGTCAGTCATATAATGCAGGTCTACGTTAACTTCCTCAAAGAGCATGCACAGAGAAGTCCAAATTAAACATGATTTAATGACTCGTAAATGTAAGTACACATTGATGGCCTAAGACACGAAACGAGCGGTTTGTGTGAGAATTGAACAGTATTTATATCGTTTTTACCTCTTGTAAACATAGCCACGTCCAAGTGATCTGATGGCGCCGGCACTTCGGTCTTTTCCGGAAAGCGCCGGAAGTGATCTCTCGCACGTGTACGTCACTCATTGTTTACACAGAACAGAGATTGTAGGTAAGACGGCTAATTAAAATGGTACTAATTTGCGCTTATCCGGGATGTTTAAACCGTCGTAAAACAAAACAATTTAAAAAAAAAAAAAAAAAAAAAAAAATTGTATGAGTAATGTACACGCGCGAGAGATCACTTCCGGCACTTTCCGGCGGAAGTTTTTTTTTTATTAATTAAAAACTAATTTCAAAGTGAACTATCCCTTTAAACGCTCACACACATATATTTCAATCATGACAACTCTCGGAATAGTTTTAGCATGTTATTAAATATGTTAATGTATTTGGTCTTGGCGGACTAGATCTGCTACGCTGCTGCTGTAGATTATTGCTGCTGCTGAAGAGCTAGTATGGACTTGCTACTGCTAACAGATACACAGACACGCTGCTGTGAGCTTGTAAGATATGCTGCTGCTGCATAAATAGACGTATATCAATCCCTCAGGTGGAGCTGGGGGAGGTGGAGGGGTTCAGAGGAACTCTGATAGCGCTGCACGACTAGCCAACAACAAACACTGAACCAGACTATTTGAATGTTGAGCAAGCAATCTCATTGGCTGTAGGATCAGCAGAGGCCAATCAGCTTGTCCCATGCAGTAATGATGTGATTGCTTGCAGATTGCATGTAAAGGACCGATCAGCTTGGGCTCTCTAGAGTTTCATGACTGAACTATATTATTGTGCTATTAAAATCAGTATTGAATAACGTGGGCTAAATAAAGTTTAGTCGTTCCTTCCTGTTGCGGGGCAGCCCAGACAAAAACATTGTCATAATTCATCAACAGTAGATCAAAAGCAATCTATTGGCATAAATGTGCATTATTCATTGATTGTGAACTGCTCTGAAAGCACGAGCCTTTAGAAAGTGCATCAGCGCCACTTTGCTACTTTGAAACAAGCAGTGCTCATATTTATTAAATCATAGACTTGAAGCTTAATAATCATATTAGACTGTCTCGCGATTCTTGTATTTCCATCCCCAAATTTAAGACCTCTTAAAAGAATTATTGTTTGTTATACCATTTAATAGTTTTATGACCTTCAATTTCCTTGCCTCCAAATATACAGTAGTCAACATTTGGATCAAGAAAGTTCATCAAAGTTGTCCTAAGACAAGAACGGGTATTGTTCAAAATTCATGTATAACTTTGATGAAAGGTTTTGATCCACCTCAAATGTTGACTACTGTATTTTACAGTTTACACACATCTCTTTTTAGTCACAGATGTCAAAAGTCGAGTCCTGATGATGCCTTTCGTTATTGCTTCCGAGTCCATTTGTATTCATTATCACAAGTTAATCCTCTTCAGCGTCTTAAAGACCTGTTTTCCATGTTCCAGGTATGAGCGTACGAGGGTCCAGAGCCTGGCGGCCCAACACCATCCCAGCCTCCTTGCTTTCTATCATCGCATTATCGACACTGCAACCGGCTTTGTGTTAACAGTCTGAAGGATCGAACGTCCTCTGACCGGTGTGATTGCCCGTGCTCTTCCTCGCAGTGGAATCGCTGGAGAGGTGCACCAAAACACTTCTGAGGCAAGATTATTGATCCATCTCTCCGTAGTTATCTGAGGCAATGCCCAGCGAACCGTTTGAGGAGCGTAACGGGAAAACGTCAGCACCACGGTGGTCGGATTTCGTGTGCATGTTATGTACTGTGTATCATTGTCTCTTTGCAAGTGATCCGAGACCCTAACAAGGTTTCAGATGAAGGTTTTTGCAGCAAACCGGTGTATGAGGTGGGATGAGTCATATTACTGCACTAAGATTCCATCTTCTCATTGATCCCTAAGAACAAATGCCTTACTTCCATGTACATGCCAAAGTAGTTAACGTTCTTTTGCTTTGTACTAAGCTTCTGTTGGGTAAAATTGTGATTGTTTTGTAATTATCACATCATTAATTTAAGGATTGGTTGACCCAAAAATCATTTACTTACTCTCATGTTGTTGCCATGTGACTTTTGTTTTTCTGTGGGACACAAAAGAAGGAATTTTGGGTGCTGGGCGCTCATTCCCACGCAACTATAACGAATGGAGATGGAGGGCCCTATTTTAAGGATCTAAGAGCATGTTCTAAAGCGCACGGCGCAAGTGCACTCGTGTCCGAAACCACTTTTGCTAGTTTAAGGACGGGAAAAATGGTTGGCGCGCCCAGCGCATGGTCTAAAAGGGATGTCCCTATTCTCTTAATGAGGAATGGGTGTGTTTTGGGTGCAATAAACCAACGGGAGTCTCATTTCCCATTCCCTTAAAAATCCAGGTGCGCTTGCGCCATGGCGGATTCGCTATTTACATGGCGGAATTTGCAAGCGGAAAGACTGAACGCTTCTCCAGAGCGCAAACGGATCTGCTCGTGCGCGAGGCCTACCGGATTCCACCAAATCTTTATGTACACAATACAAATCTTTTACATTGTAATCCTTGTATTTTGTGTGTAATAAGCAGAGTGTTAAGCGCATAGTGGACCCGCCTTCAGGCGCACATTACTAACACACTCTTTAAATAACAAAAAGAATATTGCGCCATTGACTTTAAACCAGGTTTCAGTTGGTCAGTGGCACAGTCTATTTCAGTTGCCTCAAAATAGAAACGCTCCAACAATGCGCCTGAACACACCTTGTTTTCAGACCAGCAAACTCATGGGCGCATAAATAGGCGCATATGCTATTTAAACAACGTGGCGCAAGACGTGAAAATGATAACTGCGTCAGGCTGAAAGTAGCAAAAAACACTTGCGTTTCGCCACATTGCGCCGGGTGTATGAGACACGAGAACATTACGTGAGAAATAAGATTGTTTTTGTGAACCGGATCAACTGATTGAACTCAAAAGAACAATTTGTTCATGAATCGAATATTGTTTATCTTATTTTCTTATGAACCAGCAATGGAAAAGTACTTAACATCTTACATTACAGTATACTGGTTAAAACTATTGTATCACTTAAGATGACTAGGCATATAGCAAGTCATTTTTCAGTGTTTCATTGTCAGAAGTTTCATTGTCATTCACTTTCATTATAATAAACAGAGCAGCCAGTGTGTTCTTTAAAAATTCACCTTTTGTGTTCCACAGAAGTCAGTCATTTGGAACAACATGAGAGCGAGTAAATGATGACAGAAGGTGTAAACGTTCCCTTTAAGCTACTGTTTGATTGTTTTGTAATCACATTATTAATTAATATTTAGCCCTTGCTTACCATTTCAGTTATTTGTTCAAGAGTCGTCTCTGTGCCTTATCTATGTTTTAGCGTGCACACACACAAGGCTTGTATTTGTTTGCTCCAGGCACCATGCCGCAGCTAAAAGCCTCCAGTATTCATGATGGCCACAGTGCTGCATTCACAGATTTGGTGACATTTCATCTGCGTTAACACTAGGAGAAATTATAGGTAAATGTGTCTACACTCACAACGATATAGTAATTATCATAATGACATGAAGGAAATTATTGGGCTTTTATAAATATGCCAGAGATGTTCAAAATTGAATTAAGCCTTTCGACACTTAAGACTTAAATGCAGTCATAACGATTTGGTTTATTGAAGAAATGCCATCCTTTTTTTATTATCAGAAATGTAATTTTAGTAACAGGTGTGTGAAAATGTAATTCTGAGATGAGCAACCAATTTTTACAGTATTACAATATGAGCGTTATTAGGCTTTCTTTCCACACTAACAGCAAGTCTGGAGTGATAAAGCCACATTTTAATGACCCATTTTTCAGTATTATCACTTTATCATCCCTTGAAAAAAAAGAAGTGCACTTAATAGTATTTAATATGCATTTGTAGAGTACTTCAAAGTATATATTTTTAAAAACTGTACTTTAATAATGATATTATAACATTAATAAAAGGCCACTTAAGTGTACTTAAAGAGTTAACTTAGGCCCTGTCCCAAATGGCACCATAAACTCTTGCTGTCTTCCAACGAGTCCGCACTTTTGGGAAGTTGTCTGTTACAGAGCTGATGGGCTTGCAGACTTGGCAAAAGTGCGCATCGAGGGCAGATATCAACCGCAAAGGGGGCGCTCTCGAGCATCCTTTTGAAACCTAAAATGACAAATGGGACACCCTATATGTTCTGGTGGACTTCACGATCACGCGAACGTGGCGGCCATTGTAAGTCCACAAGGCTGTAAGTACATATGAAGTGTGCCATTTGAAACAGGGCCTCTGTTTCTTGACACACTTGAATACACTTCTATAATGCAACTATCAAATTGAAATTTTTACTTGATACATTCGGTAACACTTTATTTTACAGTGTCCTTGTTACACGTTACATGTAGTTACTATAGTAATTACTATAAATTGTACAGGTCCTTCTCAAAAAATTAGCACATTGTGATAAAGTTCATTATTTTCCATAATGTAATGATAAAAATTAAACTTTCATATATTTTAGATTCATTGCACACCAACTGAAATATTTCAGGTCTTTTATTGTTTTAATACTGATGATTTTGGCATACAGCTCATGAAAACCCCAAATTCCTGTCTCAAAAAATTAGCATATTTCATCCGACCAATAAAAGAAGTGTTTTTAATAAAATAAAATAAAAGTCAACCTTCAAATAATTATGTTTAGTTATGCATTCAATAGTCAATACTTGGTCGGGAATCCTTTTGCAGAAATGACTGCTTCAATGCGGCGTGGCATGGAGGCAATCAGCCTGTGGCACTGCTGAGGTGTTATGGAGGCTCAGGATGCTTTGATAGCGGCCTTAAACTCATCCAGAGTGTTGGGTCTTGCGTCTCTCAACTTTCTCTTCACAATATCTCACAGATTCTCTATGGGGTTCAGGTCAGGAGAGCTGGCAGGCCAATTGAGCACAGTAATACCATGGTCAGTAAACCATTTACCAGTGGTTTTGGCACTGTGAGCAGGTGCCAGGTCGTGCTGAAAAATGAAATCTTCATCTCCATAAAGCTTTTCAGCAGATGGAAGCATGAAGTGCTCCAAAATATCCTGATAGCTAGCTGCATTGACCCTGCCCTTGATAAAAACACAGTGCACCAACACCAGCAGCTGACATGGCACCCCAGACCATCACTGACTGTGGGTACTTGACACTGGACTTCAGGCATTTTGGCATTTCCTTCTCCCCAGTCTTCCTCCAGACTCTGGCACCTTGATTTCCGAATGACATGCAAAACTGAGCAACAGTCCAGTGCTGCTTCTCTGTAGCCCAGGTCAGGCGCTTCTGCCGCTGTTTCTGGTTCAAAAGTGGCTTGACCTGGGGAATGCGGCACCTGTAGCCCATTTCCTGCACACGCCTGTGCACGGTGGCTCTGGATGTTTCTACTCTAGAGTCAGTCCACTGCTTCCGCAGGTCCCCCAAGGTCTGGAATCGGTCCTTCTCCACAATCTTCCTCAGGGTCCGGTCACCTCTTCTCGTTGTGCAGCGTTTTTTGCCACACTTTTTCCTTCCCACAGACTTCCCACTGAGGTGCCTTGATACAGCACTCTGGGAACAGCCTATTTGTTCAGAAATTTCTTTCTGTCTTACCCTCTTGCTTGAGCGTGTCAATGATGGCCTTCTGGACAGCAGTCAGGTCGGCAGTCTTACCCATGATTGCGGTTTTGAGTAATGAAACAGGCTGGGAGTTTTTAAAAGCCTCAGGAATCTTTTGCAGGTGTTTAGAGTTAATTAGTTGATTCAGATGATTAGGTAATAGCTCGTTTAGAGCCCATTTTCATGATATGCACATTTTTTGAGACAGGAATTTTGGGTTTTCATGAGCTGTATGCCAAAATCATCAGTATTAAAACAATAAAAGACCTGAAATATTTCAGTTGGTGTGCAATGAATCTAAAATATATGAAAGTTTCATTTTTATCATTACATTATGGAAAATAATGAACTTTATCACAATTTTTTGAGAAGGACCTGTACAAAGTTACACGCAACTAACCCTAAACCACACCCTAATATTAACCGTAACCCTATAGTAAGTACATGTAGTTAATTATTATTACTCAGTACTGAAATATATAATTACACTGTAACTTTGTTACAGTATAATTATATATTTAAGAACTGAGAAACATTCAGTCCTTATTATAGGGTTAGGGTATAATCAGGGTTTGTTTGAGGGTTAGTTGCATGTAGTTATGCACAATTTACTGTTAATACTATGGTAAGTACATGTAACGTGTAACAAGGACATTGTAAAACAGTGTTACCAAATAAAATGTAACCTAAAGTACAATTTAATTGTGTTTTAATAATATTTTGTCATGCTTTGAAAGAAATACACTTATTTCGATGTGTTGACTAACATACTAAAGCACATGTAAAGTACTTGATCAATTTAACTGTAGTGTGTTTGTTCGATACTACATTTAAAGGTAATATTTTTTAAATGTACTTAATTGCAACTTCATTTCAAATACGTGTTTACGGATATATTTAAATACATGACATACAAGTTTCAATAGAAAGAACATTAAAGTATCGACAAATGCTTGTCAATACAATCGGCAGTACACTTTAACTATATTTACAAAGACGATAGAATATTAAGTAATTATGAAATTATTTCAAAGTGAAGTCATGCTTAAGTGTACTTCTTTTCCACAAGGGATAGCTCAAGTATTATACTATTTTGACACATTATTTTTGAAATATATTTTGATCTCCTCCAGTCCCCAATATTTGTAATAGCGCTGCAATTTTCAGGTACAGTAACGTGAGACTGATCGATCGGGCATGTTTAACGCATTAATAATCGGTTTCAACTCGTTGTTAACAAAGCACTACAGCATAAACTCAATTCCTTCCTGACTCCATTTAAAGTTGTTTTTATATATAACAGCAAATCAGATGTCAGCTTGTGTTATTTTCTTTGCCCTCTGGTTATCTGCAGGCTGTTACATCTGAGCGAGCACAGATAGTACAGATATCAGCGCATCTCTGTTTTTTAAAGCGGCGGGCAGCGCTGGATACTGCAAACGTCTGCCGCATCTCAAACCCAAAATGCTGAACGGCTGCAAAATGCCACTTTGTTTTTTTCCTAGCCATGTACATTGTGACTTGTTCTTCTGTGACTGTTAAAAGTCTGGTACT